GCTTCCCTTGCCTTTGGCGATGTTTCTAGGAAGAAGTTGCTGCAGCTGAGGTCAAAGAGGTTTTTCAGCATTACTCTTAAGACCCTAGATTTCCATACCACTTCCCATTGTTTTATTCATTGATGATAATAAACACTACTGTTTCTCCAGCATTTATTCATTTACTATTCACCCTCGCCCCCTCCTTGGACAGATGTTGCATTAAGGGGCTGAAACTACAGGTCCTGGGCATACAGTGGGCTCCCAACAATTATTTACTGGACCAGCAAACCCACGAGGTAGTTACTATTAACCTTCATTTGACAACATGGAGAAGACTGAAAGAGAAACTGTCTAGCTGGGGCAGCTTGTAACACCATCAGTATTTATTTAGCAGTTAATTTGGGACGCATAATCTCTGTGCTCTCCGCGTGCCGCTGGCAGCCCCCAGATAAGATAAAGGAGATATTGATATGCTTATTAAGTCTTACACTGTTAGGTGTTTTACATGTTATCTCATTTAACAGAACCTTTGAAGACCTCATTTTACAACTAAGATTAGATGACAGCTCAGCCTGAGGAAATGGGCAAGTTAGGATTCCAAATCACCTCTACTTATCCTCAAAGCTCTTGATCTTTCCAAGAGTATGCCATTTTTTATAACGAATGCAGAATTTTCATCCCTGAAAAAACAGGACGAATGCAGAATTTTCATCTCTGAAAAAACAGGACTCCCGTGCCACCAATTTTCTCCCAAAACTTGCCCTTCCGGGGGCGAACGGCCGACACCCGGCCCACGCCGTGCTCCTGGAAGGGCCCCCTGGAACCCTCACGCACCACACTGAAAAGCTCGGCGAACGCCACCCTCTTTCCCCAATATGGCGGGGCCGGTCACGTGGTCAGCGCGCGGGGCCGGAGCGCTCTTGGAGACCGCCGTAGGTCACGTGGCTGGGGGGCGGTGGCGACCACGGGGGCGTGGCCGTAACTCCGCGGCAGCCTCCTGGGCCGAGGCTCCTCGCGGGCCACGCCCCCCGGCCCCTCCGGGGGCCCACGCGCAACGGAGGGGTGGAGTCTCCCTCGTGACCTTTCACCCCAGCATGGCTGCGCCCTTGGGACCGGTGAAGTTCTGGCGACCCGGTAAGGCCTTTAGAGAAACGTTGGGCAGATGCGGCGGCCTGACTTTGGTCTTGGCTCGGCAGCCGGCGCCCTGGGGCCTGCGGACCTGCTCGCAGGCCTGACCTCGGCGGGCTGGCCACCGCCGCCTCAGAGCTGGTGGGCTCTGCGGCTCAGGCGCCCACGGTGGTCCCGACAGATTCGGGCGTCCGCCCCCAGCCTGGGCAGAAACTCTCTGCGTGACCTTGTTCGAGTCTCAGCTTCCCCGGGCCTCGTTTTCCTCACTCGTGATCCCTGCCTTGCCCAACGCTGGGGAAGCGCTGAAGCGCCCACGCGTGTCCTGTTACCGCCCTGGGGCTACGCTGGGGCCGGACGGGCGGTGCTGCTCAGGGTTTAGGAGCTCAAGCTGTGGAATCGGGTTGCCTGGGTTCGACTTTTCGGCTGTGCCCTATAGTAGCAGAGTTCCTTTGGGCAAGTCACTTAATTTTCCTGAGCCCTAGCCTCCTTACCTGTGAAATGGGTAGAGTAATAGTAATCCTGTGGGCTTGAATAACGAGTACGGCGCCTTGTCTGACCCCAGAGTAAGTGCTCATAAAAAAGGGAAAGTGCCTTATTTTGTTTTAGGGTAATTCTTGCCCATCTCGAGTGTCTACCAGAAAGTGACCACCCTCCTTCGTATTGGCTGTCACCCACTTCCCTCTGTCAGGGAAACACGAATGTTAGTCACAAAATGCTTTGATGTGTTTTGTTTCTTCATTCATCAGGATTTTATTGAATGTGTACTTGCCAGATCCTGCTAGATGCCTTACTTCCTCCCCTTCCGTCAGTTTCTTGTGAAAAACAAAAGTTTCTTAACAGTTAACCAGCTTATGTTTTTCCACCACTTGCACCTCTGCAGGTCTGGGTGTGCAAAGTATATTGCAGCAAAAATGAAACGAGACGGAGACGGTAATAGGGGGAAAACTTTTAAATGGTATTTTAAAGTTTTGCCCTGAGATGCTAACCATGCATATACTTGATGTGGGAGATAAGCCCAAGCAAGGGATGTGTTAATTCTTTTTAAAAATCTGTAGTTTGTCCCTTAATGACAGTTTTATTCAGTATTTCAAATCATTAGCCAGTTATCCATCCTGAATTTTATTTGCAGCCAGAACTAAGATCTCATTAGGTGATGAGATACCCTCTATTTTACTTATTCAAGCCTTTAATAACAGGTCAAAGTGTTAAGTATAATAAAGGCATGAATGAATTGTTGCAAATCAGAAGAGGAAACTATTTTGGCTAAAGAACATGGGGTTACTCGGAGAGTTCTGTTCCATTATTTAAATAGTTCCTTTGTTGAGGGTATACTTATTGAGTGCCTAACCTTGTGATCAGGCGGCAAATATAGATGACCAGGCTGCTGCTCTGCTCTCAAGATTTATTCTTTCTTTCTCTCTCTGTCTCAGTTATGATATAAAGTTAGATACCCTTTAGAAGAGATATTATGAATGAGGCAGAAAGAAGTGGTGGTAAGGGGGATAGGTTCTATAAGTCAGACTGTAAAGCTATCCTTGACTGCCATATTTACTAGCCTGGTGACTTGGCAAAGTCACTTAAATGCTCAGAATCTCAGTGACCTTATCTGTGAATTGGACAGAACAACACCTACCCAAAGGATTGTTTTTTTTTTTTTAAAGATTTTATTTATTTATTTGACAGAGAGACAGAGATCACAAGTAGGCAGACAGGCAGGCAGGCAGAGGGAGAGGGAGAAGCAGGCTCCCTGCTGAGCACGGAGCCGCATACGGGGCTCGATCCCAGGACCCAGGACGCTGAGATCATGAACAGAGCCGAAGGCAGACGCTTAACCCTACTGAGCCACCCAGGCGCCCCTACCCAAAGGATTGTTTTGAGGATTAAATGAGAATACATGTAAAGCTCTTAGTACTAGATACATATTAACTATTAGAATTACATAGAGGTATAGAAGAGAGGGAAAGATTGAATGTGTGGATAAGAAATACTTCATAAAGATAATGATATTTTTGAGGTGAACAGTGAAGGCCAAATAAGGTTTTGTTCCTTGGAGAGGTAGGGGTATGGAGCTCTGGGCAAAGAGAGCAGCCTGACCATGGCAAAGTGGGATGTGTGCCTCAGGAATGTCCAAAAAACCAAAGTAATTGAGTAGCGAGATGGTGTTAAGTGATAGGGTACGTTTTGGGGTGAAGCAGGAGATAATGCTATTCTGTTTCTAGTTCATTATTTAAAAAAAAAAATGCTGGTCATGACCCCACTACATTCATTTCATAACCCACTAATGGGGCATCACTCAAATTGAAAAACTGAATTGAAAAAATTGAAATTAGAGGGAATGCTGGGTGGGGGTGGGGGTGCTGTTGTCAGCCTTGTTTTGTAGGTGGAGAAATGAAGGCATTTGTGGTTTGCAGGATTACAAACTTGTTACTCCCTTAAGTATAGAGAATGTTCCCCAGGGAAAGGCAACCATAGGCAGTCAGAATGCACCGTGGGATGTATGTAGAGGGGAGGCAGTCCTGGTTTGGCTGAATGAAGTCTTTTGTAAGGAGGAGACATACTCCTTATTGACTGACATTAGCTCTAAAACATCTCATGACAGAATATACTGAGGTGGACTTGGCTGTAGGCTGGAGACAGGCAGGGGAGGGGTAGTAAAGAAGACACCTGGGTAGATGAAACCCTGGTGTGGGAGGAAGCAAGAGACCTTGCAGGAGCAATGCTATTGCTAAGACAGGCTGGAAAGGTTTAAAACGTGTTTTGAAAAGGAGGGAATTGGTGACAAAAACAGCGGATGAGGATGAACTATTCTTTGCAGCAGTTTTCTTGGGGAAGGGTTACAAGAAGTTATATAGATGTGGCAATAATAAGGGAAGAAAGGAAAGGAGACCTGCCTCTTTGAGCACAGGCTTTGTTCCAGGTCCTGTTCTATCTTTTATCTTGTTGAAAGGAATGTCAGCATTTTGGCAAAAACAATATAGCAGTGCCCCACTTAAATGATTTTTGGCAATCTTGGACCTCTGGAACACAACTATGTTCCTAGAAATAAGTGGAAAAGGGATTAGAGATCTGTGACAATGACTCTAAACTTAGCTCTAGGGGGTCTATGGACCACGAGCATTTTCTGTCCTGATACATTATATTCTGATTATTTTTCAGGAGAGGGGTCCATAGCCTTTATTAGATTGTCAAGGGGTTTGGGACCTCCAAAAAATGTAAAAATAAATCACTGGGCTAAAGGTGCTTGTCATAAAGCCCCTGTAATTTCACATGGCATCAGACCCTGAGTTCAGAAGATCTGGGAGATGATAGTTTGGGGTAATCACTCCTATAGTGCCCCCAGCAGAAGGCTGTGTGGCCTGTGTTTGAACTTCCAGGGAAGGTTTTTAAGATTCACAAAGGCATTACACCCCAGTGCTCAACAGCTCTAGCTTTTGAAAATAGCTTCCTTGTGTCCTGTTGAATTCCAAACCCTGTGTCACTTATTACTCTTAGTTCTGTCCAAGGCCTACACAGACAAATTGGCGCGAAAAGTTCTGGAAGCTGATTGTAAAAATTGAACCCATGTTCCTCTTAAGGCATTTTCCTTCAAAGGCTAAAATTCATGGTACCTGAAGAGTTTTACATGATGAGATATGGCTTCCCTATTCTTCACCGTCCTGAGCACCAGTTTGTCATTGTTCTCACCAAGCCAGCATTGTGGAAAGCTATTGTTTAATTTGCTCAGCACGGTGGTTTCTTGGAATGGTACTTCACACCCAACCACTCCAGTTCTGTGATTCAAAATGGGGGCTGCCGCCTCCCGCCTCCCGCTCCACTGGCCATGGTTGGTTGGATCAGGCTGGGCATTGGACCTAAGCTGGGGGAAGAGGAGCCTTCCCCCGCCTCCAGACCACAGACCACACACACACCGGGGACTCCCCGCCCCCCCTTGCTGAGTCTTTTACTTTCTCCTTAGCACGTATTACCACCTCTGCACAAAACTGTGTTATGGGAGGAGGAGTGAAAGAAGCAAGTAAGCCGCACGAGGGTAGGACCTAGCATCTGGAGTGTTCCCTGTGGCATCTCTTGCATTCAGTCCTTGTTGGGGAGTGAATGGAGGATGGGGAGTTGTGAGCCTGAGCAGCCTTGATTCCAGCTCCTACTGAGAATCCAAACTTAGGGATCGAAAGGAGCTGGTGGAGAGGCGCTGAGATGAGAGAAGGAGCAAGCCAAGGCAGCATTTGCGTCCCCGGGCCTTGCTGCCGTCCTGCAGTAGCATGTTCCTGCACCTCAGCCAGTTCCCATTGGGTTTCTGTCACTTGTAGGAGGAGTAATTAGAGTAATTAGTAGTAATATGTCGGGGCCAGACCTGAAAACATTGTCCTCTGGAATACAGTTACGAGTGGCTGGTTTGGAGCCCAGTGGGCCTCTCCTCTCTGTCCTTGATGCTGCGGTGAAGCTCTTAGGGGAGATTTTTGTATTCTCCCAGGTCCTTTCCTAGATGCTTTCCTGAAGTTAAAGTTTAGTATCTTCTAGTAGTTTGAGGTAAAATGCATTGCTTGTGTTGTATCTTCGCCTTGGAATTTGTAAAGTCTGCACATTTTTCTGTCCATTGGTTGCATCAGAGAATCTGAAAAAAGCATTTCTGTTACAGGTACAGAGGGACCAGGTGTCAGCATCTCTGAAGAGAGACAGAGTCTGGCTGAAGACTCTGCACCACCCGTTGTCTACAATCCCTACGCTGCCCTTTCTATAGAGCAGCAGAGGCAGAAGCTGCCGGTGTTCAAGGTACGCTAAACAAGCCTGTGCAGTCGGTCGGCCTGAAGCCGTGCGCGGTGGCCTTAGACTGGGTCCTGAAGTGAATCGTGTCCTCTTACTCTTAACGACTCTGTAGGACACAGTGAGCTCGGAGCTGCCCTTATCTGAGGGGATGAAACTCAAAATATGTGTGTGTTGCTTAACCATATAAATCTTGAAAGTCCTTAATGGTTTTTTTAGTTAGATGTTGTTACAAATTGAAAACCTGGAAGAGGGGCGCCTGGGTGGCTCAGTCGTTAAGCGTCTGCCTTCGGCTCAGGTCATGACCCCAGGGTCCTGGGATCGAGCCCCGCATCGGACTCCCTGCTCTGCGGGAGGCCTGCTTCTCCCTCTCCCACTCCTCCTGCTTGTGTTCCCTCTCTTGCTGTGTCTCTGTCAAATAAATAAAATCTTAAAAAAAAAAAAAAAAAGAAAACCTGGAAGAGATGGAATGACATTCTTTTTCCCTCTCTTTGCTTTTCGATTATGGACAAATTCAGACATACAGAAGAGTAGAGAAAACAGCACAATGAACTACTGTGCCTCCAACTTCAACAGATTACCAGTGTATGACCAATGTTAGCTTTCTTTTTAAAGGCGAATTTCTTTAAACAAGACTAATTGGACATCTGAGGAGGTTTCTGTGGAAGAAGTTAACTCCCACTGACACGGTGACGGGATTTGGGTGCTTATTATGTACTGTGTGCACATCCAGCATTTGATTTTATTGGTCTCATGAAATGGACGTATGTTCATCTCACAAGAGACCAAAGGATGAACTAGAATTCAGAATACATTTGTTTATAGCCGTCATTCTCCAGTGTAGACAGACATGGTCCATGGGCTCACTTTTCTCCCTGTTGCCAAGACCACATGGGAAGGGGCACCTGGGTGGCTCAGTTGGTTAAGCGACTGCCTTCGGCTCAGGTCATGATCCCGGAGTCCCGGGATCGAGTCCCGCATCGGGCTCCCTGCTCAGCAGGGGGTCTGCTTCTCCCTCTGCCCTCTTCCCTCTCGTGCTCTGTCTCTCATTCTCTCTCTCTCAAATAAATAAATAAAATCTTTAAAAAAAAAAAAAGCTATAGCACAATATCTGTCATATAGTAGTGCTTTAATATATTTTTAGTATGCCAAATATAAAACCTTTCATCATGAAGTAATCACAACTTCTACATTATATCAGTTCAATAAATAAAATTAGATTATTTATTAAAAAAAAAAAGACCACATGGGAAGCCAGATTGTAATCAGGAAGTGAGCTCTAGGCCAAAGGCCATTTAGATAGAGCTGAAGAATGTTTCATATAGCCCCCGATGAAGGGCGTCGTGCTCTCCCAGCCTCACATGATGCCCCTGGAATGACCCGAGTAGGTGTGGCCACCAGCACCCGTGGCTCACTCTTTCTCCTGGACAATGCTGGGGGAGAGCTGCCAAGTTCTCACACTAAGGGAGTCTCTTTGTCTAGACTGTGCTAATCATTCCTCTTCTATTGATATGTGCTTTCTCCAAATGGATTTGAAACAGAATCCTTCTTAACTTAGCCAAGTCACCTAGATTAGAGTGTTATGTGGCCCCAAACATTTTAGTCACTCACTGACATTTCTGGGTTTCTCCCTCAGGTGATTAACCTCATCCAATATGTGTGAATGTAAACCGGTTTGCCCCTCAGGAGATGAGATTATAGGTTCACCATTGCTGCCTCGCTGTTGAGGGACATAGTTTGAGCTCCGGTGAAGTATCAAGATTCTGGAGCTAGACTTTAGAGCTCAAACCCGAGCTTCATTGTTTTTGTGCTGTGTGACCTTGCTTCACCATCTGAGCTTCTGTGTTTTTATCTGTAATATGGGACTAATAGCACCTACCTCATTGGATTGTTATGAGGCCCAGATGAGATCATCCACATGGGGCATTTAGCAAGGTACCTGACATATTGTAAGTATTCAAGTACACAGATAATTATTATTTACCAAGTATTTAATTTTGGCCTTTCCTTGACTGTTTTTCATCATCCATCTGAACTTACAAGATACCATAAATGAAACAAATGCAAAAGTAATCAAGGTTTAACATTGATGGAAATTAAAATCGTATGGGTTATTGGTAAAAAGCAAAACAGAATTTAAGCATAGTTAGGCACTCATGAGATGTTAAAGATAAATCTAGGAGATGAAAAGGGTGAAAGGGACCCATTCACCAACCCCTCCCCCACTAAAACTAAAAGTAGCTTTAAAGACAGAAATTGAAACTAAAGGGGCAATAAATTTAAAGTTCCTCTCTTTTTCCTGCTGTCATTACAAGGCAGCCTTCTTGACCACCTCCCGTAGGCTGGCATTCTTGCTGGGGCTTGGACATTGCTATGGAAGGTCGTCCTCTCACTCCTTTACACACCGCCTCCCTGAAGCTCAGTTCCCTCCTCCGCACCAGCCCTTGGCCATTTCTCTGCTTGCGCCTGTGGGCGCTACTGTCATTCTTGCAGTCTCCAGACTGGAAATCTTGTCATGTCTCTCTCGAATGTTACACATTGGACCTTCTTCGTGTGCAGCCCTTCCTATCTAGTATGTGAAATGTGAGTTACTGTCTTCAGTTTTCTTCTGCTCGGTCTCGTCTGGTGCAGCACTGACAGCCCAGCCAGCGCCCCAGGGACGGTGCAGACAGTAGCTCTGCTAGGGAAGCCTGGACTACCCGTCTCATAACTCATTTCCAAACCACACCTGGAGCCTTTTGTGGGCTCTTATGATGCCCCTGGAATAGAGTTTGTATTGTTTGCTTGTTTCTGTCTTCTTCCTTTTGCTTATGTTATTTCCCTTTCCTGGAATGCCTTATCTTGTTTCTGTCTGTATTCAGATTGTCTTTCTAGTTTTCCTTGATCATCTACCATCCATCCGTCTATCCATCCATCCATCCACCCACCCACCCACCCACTGTTGGATCTACATTCATAAAATACCTGCAAAGATCCCAAACCTTTCACCTTCCCCTAGCCAAAACGAAAGAAAGCACCAAGTCCAGGCAACTGACAAAAGAGTGTCTAGACTAGTCATTATAGACCACCTGCAGCAGGATCTGCTGTGGGGGCTTGAGAAATGCAGATTCCTGAGCCCCAATGTAATCCTACTGAATCAGAAACCCTGGGAATAGGGCTAGGAATCTTCATTTTTAACAAATATCCTAAGAGGGTTTCACACTAAAATGTGAGAACTATATATTTAGGCCCCAAATAATGCCCGATTCAAAACCCCAAAGCAGCCAATACTTTAGTGAGGCAGTTAGGCAGCATGTTCGCTCTCCCAGTCCTCACCACGTTGTCGGTGCCCAATCAGACGGGCCGAGCAGTAGTCAGAGTGGGGGAACTTGTCAGGGTTTACTTCATTCCAGACCAGGTATTTATGGAATACCTTCATGACTTTCCAGACCAAGTGCGTCTTTCAGCACATGTGGGTACAAAAATATACTAGGGGGCTAAGTAGATAGGATGTTGGAATCATCTCTTCAGTTTTCTGCTCACACTGAATGGGTAAAGAAAGGCTCAGTTGAAATACAGGTGTAACCTATGGGTGCTTTATTACGAACTTGGATTTAGAGGTAGAGGTGAAAGCATATTCTTTCTGTCTTTTTTTTCCCCAGTTAATAAATGAAAGAATTTGTAACTAGATAATACATAATTTGTACAAAATGTAAAGGTCTGTCTCCTTCACATCCTTTCTCCCCGGCCACCCTCTTCCGCTCCAGGAGATAATACAATGATCGGTTTTTTGTTTTGTTTTATTTTCTGTAAAGATAGCTTGTACATAGCATGTATGTATCCTTTCTTTAAAAACACAAATAATAGTGTATTATTTACACTGTTCTGCACCTTGAGTTCCTCCCTTAATGTATCTTGTTGACCATTCCATATCAGATAGACATTTGTTCTTTTTTTAAAATTCAATTAACATATAGTGTATTACTAGTTTCAGAGGTAGAGTTCAGTGATTCATCAGTCTTATATAATACCCAGTGCTCATTACATCACATGCCCTTCTTAATGTCCATCACCCAGTTACCCCATCCACCTGCCCCCTCCCCCCCGCAACCCTCATTTTGTTTCCAATAGATATTTGTTCTTTTTAATGCCTGAGTATATTCCATTATTGGAGTGTTTCATAACTGATTTAACCCTGTTGATGAACATTTAGACTGAAATTTTGGCTGTTATAAACAATACTTCAGTGAGTATGCTTGTGTATATACCTCTTTGTTCATATATATTATTAGTATGTCTGTAGTATAACTTCTTATAAGTAAAAATTTTGAATTAAAGGGTATGTATATTGTATATTTTGGTCAGTTACTGCTCTCAGTTGCACTTGTTTCAGCTTATATGGACACCGACACTGAGAGATGGAAATATATTTTGATAATTCTTTGTAAGATTTACTTCCCCTTTGGGCTCCCGGCTCAGTGGGGATTCTGCTTCTTCCTTCCCTCTGCCTCTCCCCCTGTTCATGCTCTCTCTCTCTGTATCTCTCTGTCTCAAATGAGTAAATAAAATCTTTAAAAAAAATTAAAAAAAAAAAAGATTTACTTTCCTTTGGCAAACAGCTCATTTCATAATGTTTAAATATCTTTGTTTAGATCTTTTGAGAACATGTATGGCTCTTTACAATGTATGGTTCTATTTTTCAGCTTAGGAATCATATATTATACTTGGTAGAAAACTATCAGACAGTGGTGATTGTTGGAGAGACGGGATGTGGGAAAAGCACGCAGATCCCACAAGTGAGTATGTACTTATATGTGTCTTTGCACTTACATTTGGCCAGAAGGGTTTTGTAACTTGAGAACTCTCTTTACTATAATTTGCTTTTTAAAGATCTTCTGTCAGAGAGAAAATATTCAACCCGACTAGATACTTTTTATTCAGCTTTTGGCTCTTGTGATTGATTACCATCGAAGTAATAGTCATCTTTGATTTATTATAATTCCAAAATAATGATTGACTAGCCATACTCTGAAAGGAACAGTGGAGACTCCTTCAAAGAGGTATAATGCCTGGTTTTTGTCCTCAAGTAGTTACAGTTGAAGAGGAGGGTGAAATGAATGAATACTGCTCTAGTTGTAAATAAAAATGGACTACCAAAGAATTACATGGTGCTGTGGAAGGAGCCTGTGTTACAAGGCAAGCTGCTGTCTGGTGTGGACAGAGGTGGACAGAAGGATCAGGAAAGGCCTTGTAAAAGAAATGACATTTGAAGTAGACTTTGAACGACCAGTGGGAGCTGGCCAGGAAGATGTTCTCATCCAGGGAATATTGTGGTCAGAGATACTGGGGTGTGAGAAGTGTCTGGGACTCAGCAAGAGTGGAAAGACAGGGTGAGGTCAAAGTGTGTCTTACGAGCCTTGACTTGGAGGGTGAAGAATGATATGTAAGTGGTCAAGGATGGGAGTCATTGCAGGTTTTTCTTTCCTTTTTAATGTAGATTTTTATTGAAGTATAAAATGTATATTGCAAAGTACTTATATCATAATTGTACAGCTTGATAAACTTTCACAAGTGAATATACATGTTTACCAGTCCCCAGATCAAGAAACGGAACAGAACATTACCAGAGCTCCAGAAGTCCTCTTCTGTCCCCTTCTGGTCTCCTGCCCTCTCTTCCTGCTTCCTGTGCAACACACAGGGGTATCTCTCATTCTGGCTTCTAACACCGTAGATTAATTCTGTTTTTGAACTTATAGAAAGAGATAATACAGCTTCTTTTGCCCAACCCAATAATGGATTTAGGCTGTGGCCTAGACATGGTATTTCTTAAAAGGTCCCCAGGTGATCTAATGTGCAGCTAGGGAAAGGTAAGCGGAAGGGAACGGACGGCAGTAGAGAAAGGACAGCGGAGCACATGGTGGCCTGGAGGGAAACGTGCAGGTGGTATCAAGACCATAGCACATTACTTGCTTCTTACAGACAGACACAGAACAGGGGCCATGTTGAATTACTGAGAGAGTATCAGAAGGCAGTAACAATCAGTACCACCGCCATCGTCATTGTCAAGCAAGTAATAAGTAAGTGCTACATGAAGTGGTCAGTTTGCACATATTAATCTGTTTAATCCTCAGTGACCGTGTGAAGCAGGTACTATCATTACCTTCCTTTTACAGTTGAAGACATTAGAGAGCAGTGATGTGGAGGAGGGAACATAGAACGGGTTGAAAGATGGGCCACATGAGGTGAGGTGGTCTGTTTGTTAAGGAATAAGTCTGTTTGGTTATTTAGTCAGCTCAACATAGCTATGTTATGTTACCAGAGAACCTGAAAATCTCAGTGGTTTAAGAACACAAGGGTTTATTTCTTCCTCCTCCTATGTGGTCTTCTTAGGTTGACGACCCAAGATGGCTGCTCCACGTGGTCCCTGGGACCGAGGCTGATGGCCCAGCTCTTATCTGGGGCTTGGGAGTCTTGGGGTAGATGGCAGGATTAGGAGACGGCTCAAGTTTTAGAACTTGTGACTGGAAGTGGCACTTCTGCTCACATTTCATTGCACAGGGCAGGTTTCACTGCCGGCCCGGGAGCGGTGGGGTGGCGGTGTGTGGAATCCTCCGACAGGGGTGGGTGGCAAATGTTTGGATCCGAGATACTGTACAGCACGACGATCTGGTCATTTCCCCCAGCAAGGCTTAGCTGCCAGGGAACAGAGGGGGCCTGCTGAGGGGCGAGTCCAGGGAAAGAATGGCCTGGAGGCGAAAGAGCAGGGTCTGAGGATCCAGTGGCAGTGAACAAAGGTAGTTTTTTTTCAATTTTGGAAGAGTATTTAATAGGTTCACATGGTTTAAAATTCAAGAGATGCGAAAGGACATAGAAAGAAAGATCTCTCTTCTGCCCTATCTTCTGATGCTCATTTCCTTTATGTGGATGCAACTGATGTCATTAGTTTCTCAGAGATTTTCTTACTGCATTTACAGAGAAGTGTGTGTGTGTGTATCTCCTCTTTTTAAAACACAGATAGGTGGCATCTATACGTGCTTTAATGTACCTTGTCTTTTTTCCCACTTAATGTGTCATTTTTCAGTTGCATAGATTGCACATAATTTATTTTACCAGTTCTCAGTTGATAGGCACTTAGGTTGTTTCCAGTTTTGTATTATCACAGTGATGTAATGAATCAATTTGCATATAATTTTGCACACGTATAGGTCTACTTACAGAATAAATACAGTAGTCATGGAGTTGCTGGATGAGAGGGCATATACATTTGAATTTAACTGCTTTTAAGGAACTGTGTTTTCTTACAAGCACTGTGGTTTTTGAATACATTCACATGGTACAAAATTAAAGAAGCACAAGAGAATAAATGGTGAAGAGTGAATCTCCTAAGCTTTGCTGGTGAAATTGATGAATAGGTCATTGTGATAGTAGATTATATCATTGGTCCGAATACCTGCCGCCCCTTGTATGGAAGGATCATCCTTCTTTCCTCACCACACAGTTCTTCTTCTCTGAGACCGTCACAACTTCTTGTGACGCTAATTTGAGTTACAGTCTAGGAAAATTGGACAGGCTGAGGAGCTGAAGGTCACGGCAAGAATGTGGAGCAGCTTTTTCTCAACGCACTGTCTTGCTGGATTTATATAATGTCTTTCCTTGGAAAAGTACTGCATGTTGAAGCACCAAACACCAGTTTTGAAATTTCACAAACTATTTGTGGAATCTAGCTGATATTTTTTCCCAGAGCTCTGTCAAAACAATGGACTATGAAAACAAGCTCTTTGCTACAATTTTTATTCGTGTTGTTTTTGATGGAGTGCTTCCTTATCCCACTCCTTAATGAGAAGACCAGATTTGGTGACCCTTAAAAAGAGTGAAGATGGAATTCAGCGTGACATCCACTGCCTTTTGATAGCTTTTGTAACTATTCCTATATTTTGATAGCTATTCCTGCTTTTGCAGCATCTTTAAATTTCCATCTGTCAGTGGTCATAAGCATGCAGGAGTCTGAATCACAGGTGTATCGAGGAGACTGGCTTCATGGGCAGGTTGTTTATTATGGAAATTTTTTTTCTTTCGCTTACCACTGTTACTAAGAGATTGACTACAAGTATGTGCGTTTTATTTTGGATGGTAGAATTGTGTCCTGGTTATGTGGCAGGGCTTTGGTTTGCCGAGCTTAAATCCCAGCTCTTAGATTTTTATCCAGGTCCTTGGACAAGTTCTGTGATCTCTTTGTTTGCTTATCTCTAAATTGTTGATGATGCTGTTACTTCCTCATAGATACATTGTGAGGATTAAATGGGCTTATGCATGCAAGGTGCTCAGCACAGTTCCTGGCACTTAATAACGTAGTCTGTGAATCTTAGCTATTATTTCTTGTAGTTCTGTTTTTGCCTTTGTGTTGATTGGTTGGTAGTGTTTTGTGTTATGTATTTAATCAAGAGAGAGAAACTTTATAGTTTTTATGGCAAAAACCTACATTATCTAAAACATGTTGTCCCTTACAGTTGTTTTTTTAAACTATTATTTATAGCTAATTTTGGGCTAACAGAACAGTTGTAAAAATAACACAGAATTCCCTTAAACGTCTCCCACCACTTCCCCTGCTGCAGTAATCAAAAGCAGGCATCTCTATTGGTACAGTGCAGCCACTGGGCTACAGATCTTCCGCATCTCTTCAGTGTTCTCACTGGTGTCCTTTTCTAGTTCCAAGATCCAGGACCTCCCGTTGCATTGAGTTGTTATGTCTCCCTAGTCTTCTCTAGGCTGGGGGAGTTTCCTCAGTCTGTCCTCCTCATCCTTCAGGACCTTGACATTTTTGAAGAGTGCTGGGCATTTATGTGATAGAACACCTCTCAGCTTGGATTTGTGTGATGTTTTCTCATGGTTAGAATGAGCTGGTGGATTTTGGGAAAGAATACCACAGAAATGGTGTGTCCTCCTCAGTGCATCATATCACGGGGTTTGAGATGCTGATGTCTGATTGCTGGCGAGGTTAACCTTGGTTCAGGTGCCAGGCTTTGCCCCTAAAGTTACTGTCTTGCCCTTTGTTGGTAGTTGGTAAATATCTAGGGGAGATATTTTCAGACTGCAGATACTCCCCTTCCCTTCAAGCTTTTGCCTCCTAATTTTAGCATCCCTTAGCGGATCTTGTCTGCAGCACTTACTTAGGGGTTTGCTTGATGCTTTTCTCTTTCCCTTTTTCCTTCATTAAATGGAATCCTCTCTAAGGAAGAACTGTCCTTTTTCCCTCATTTATTATATACATCAGTGTGGATTCATGAATATATATTTTGTTCCATGGCTTAAAATCCAATACTGTCTTTTTTAGTTTGTTACTTTGATCATTAGGAGCTCCTTTAGTTAGGCCCTATGTCCTTTCCTAAAGCCTTTTTTTTTTTTTAACCTTTCCTTACTTTCTAGTACTACAGGACATTTCAGGCTTGTCTTATAATATCCCTGACTAGCCCTGGGGTCAAACACTTCTCCAAGGAGCCCTGGTTCCTTTATTGGAGAATGGTGTTTAGAAATCAAGAATTGGGTGCTAGGGTGCTCGTTGCCACTGAGGTGTCATTGCTGTAAGTCTCAGTGGGCAGATTTAGGAAATATATATGTGACTACTAATCCCCACACATAAAAACATCTGTATATCTGTATCAGTCTGTGTATGTATTAAAAACCATGAATTTATGCTGATACTTCTGATTGTAATCCAACACCATAGGGCTCATTTTAGCCTTTCCTTATTTGTAAATTTCTCCTATAGTGAGAAACTCAGTCCTCATTATTTACAATACGTTAACTTATTTGTTGAATTCTAATATAAACATAAAATAGTTTTAGAATTACTAACCCATACCCCCATTTGTTATTTACCCACATTTACTGACTAGATCATGGTTCTCTCTCATTGGCTTTTATAGCATCTAGTCCAGACCTTGTTTTCCAGTTACTTAGGTTATGTCTTCCCCATCCCCTTGGGTGTGATCCTGTAATTCATTTGTGCTACAGAAAGGGCCATTTGTTAGTGTTTGTATTTCCTCCTGGTTTCCCATCATGTACATCTTGGTTGGTTTTGTTTATGTTTTGGGCACTTGAAGAGCATGTGAAACATGCCTGGCTCTGAATCAGAGCTCCCCAGAAACATCTACTCGGAGCATTGTCATTCCCTCTTCATCCCCTGCTGCCCTGTTTCCATTTTTCCTCCTTTCCTCCCAATCCTCCATAGATAACCATTCTCTTTAGTTTCTTCCCTTTTTTCTTTTGAACAAGTGAGTAGATACATGTAGTAGCATTTTAAATTTTTTTCCTACTGTAAAATATATATTCATTGTGAAGCAATTTAGACATTATAAAAATATGTAACTGATAACAGCTGTCACCACTTTGGATTTTAAAAGTATATGATCAAATGAATACATAAGTGAATATATATAGCAAATAAATACATAAATAAATCAGATAAATACATACTGTCAAATTTTGTGTGTTCTGATATAATGGCATATATACACATGTACAAAATCTAGTTATTTTTATTTAATCTGACTAAAATGTTCTGTATGGTTGATATTTACATTGAGATGTCTCTCTATGTACTTTAAAATTCTTTGTCCTGTAGATTTAGCACTGTTCCGTGTGGCCCATGGATAGTAGTTTATTCCTTCAGGCAGCTCTGGTACTTGGAAATTTGTAAGACTGGGGAGTCAGAATGTTGAACTTGGGCCTTGGTTCTTCTGATTATCAGCTCTGGTGTGAATGTAAGCAAGTTACTTAACATTGCCAAGCCTCAGATCCCTCATTTGCAAAATAATTTCCAAAATGTCTGCTGGGATAAGAACCATCTGTTACTAACTTTCTCAGTGATTTTAACACAATACAGGGTTATCTTGGGAGAAATTGTTTCTGGAGAAGTGGTGTCAGATGCATACTTCGGTGTGGTTTTATTTGCAGTACCTTGCAGAAGCGGGCTGGACTGCCGAAGGAAGAGTGGTGGGAGTGACCCAGCCTCGAAGAGTGGCTGCTGTTACAGTAAGTTTCTTTTCCATGTTGTACAAACTCCCATCTGTGTCTTCTGTCTCAGTGACTTTTTTTTTCTTGTTTCCTTAAGGCCCCAAATGAATATGGTGTGGCTCCTTGAGTGTTTAGTTCTTCAGTTGAAAAAGAACTACGACCTGCTTATTTTTGTAAAATTGATACTTGTACATTACAATTTTTTTTTTAAAGATTATTTATTTGACAGAGAGAGACACAGCGAGAGAAGGAAGTGGGGGTGGGAGAGGGAAAAGCAGGCTTCCTGCTGAGCAGGGAGCCCAATGGGGGGCTTGATCCCAGGACCCTGGGATCATGACCTGAGCTGAAGGCAGACGCTTTTAACGACTGAGCCACCCAGGCGCCCCACAAATTTTTAAGTAGTAATAAAGTACAGTGGAAGTCAGAACAAACGAAAAATAATTAAAATAAATAAAAATGTCACCATCCAGTGAAAACCTTGTGAACATTTGTGAACATCATTCCAAGCTTTGCTCTTATGTTTACATGAAGATGAGTGGTGCCTTGAATGCATAGAAGTAATTCTACAAAAATGGGATGCCAGCTATACATTTGCTTTTGTTGAATTTCACAAAAGGGGAAACTGAAGTGAAATAGGAGTAACTTAACTTTGGAGAAATATTTGTTCACCACATGAGAATGTACGGAGGCTTGAAAACTAAGAAACAAGATTACAGAAAGCTTTAACATCACTTGTTTTTGAAACCGTTGCAGGTAGTTTCCTGTTACAAAAGAGCAAAGGCCCACTTACTCTTTCTGCATTTTCTCCCTCTGTTTGTTATAGATGCAGTGCTGTGACTTTCATTTCAAGCGTATACATACATGTTCTTTTCTGTAATCATAACTTCCACAGCTGATTAACTTTAATTCTAGTTTAAATAGATCCAGTGTTCATCACTAATTCTCTACCATGGTTTTGCTAACCTTGAATGGCTCGTTTTGCCTTATTTCTAGATTGAATTGTATATGCCTGAGAATGTTTGGTTGTAGTCTTTGTTATGAAACTCTTGCTTCGCCTTCTCTTTCCCTGGGAACTGTGCAGACATTGCTCACTGCCCTTTGACACGGAGGATCACTGTGCAGAAGTCTGAGTTCCAGTGGGCTCTCTTCCCGCTTCCTTCCTGGCTCACTTGCTGCTTGGATGCTCGTAAGCTTGTTTTTGTGCCAGGACGTATCTCGATGCTGGTTTTTCTGTCTCATTGTTTCTTAAATATGGAAGAACTTTTGAGTCTTCAGGTTCATAGCTCAGGTTTTCTTCTGTTCTATCTTGGCATGTATATTCTTTTTTCTAAGGGCATCAATTAAGTGTTTATTAGATCTCCTTTGTCTCTTTTTAGTATTTATCACCATCTTTGGAATCATCTGCTCTTTTCCAGTTTCTTTTGTAAGATGTCTCCAAGCCTGTCCACAATGTTCGTGATTGTTTTTAGTCAAATGTATTCTATTTTGGCTCCTTTATATCTCTACCTAGGTCTCATAATCACTTCTTTGAATGTTTTTTTTTTTCTTTAAAAGGGAAGTGAATATCTAGAATGGGAGGAGATAATTACAATACATTACAGATTGAAAAGCTGATAATATTACAAACATTTAAAAAATGCAGAAAAATAACATAACATTTTTTTTTTTAAAGATTTTATTTATTTATTTGAGAGAGAGAGAATGAGAGAGAGCAAGCACATGAGAGGGGGGAGGGTCAGAGGGAGAAGCAGACTCCCCGCCGAGCAGGGAGCCCGATGCGGGACTCGATCCAGGGACTCCCGGATCATGACCTGAGCCGAAGGCAGTCCCTCAACCAACTGAGCCACCCAGGCGCCCCAATAACGTAACATTTTTATTAACTGTCTGACACGTTGCTTTTTTTTTTTGAAAGAGAGCGTGCGTGAGCAGGGCTGGGGGAGACAGAGAGAGAATCTTAAACAGGCTCCATGCTCAGTGCAGAGCCCAGTGCAGGGCTCAATCTCACGACCCTGAAATCATGACCTGAGCCTAAACCAAGAGTCAGATGTTTAACCTACTGAGTCACCCAGACGCACCCCCTGCCTGATACATTTCTGTAAATCTTTTTTTCCTGCAGTTGTTGGTTATATTCCCATGGGTCACCTCTTCACATGAGAATGATTTTCTCTTCTTTTCTTATGGAGGGAGTAGAGTAATATTTTAGTGTTTCCCTAGCATAGTTGATTCAGATTTGCTTTTTATTATTGCCACTGTGGAAAAGTTTCTCTAACTTTATAACTGTTATTTGTAGCATTGTATAAATATGGGGATTGTTCTCAAATTTAAGAAAAGTCTCTCAGGTGTCCGTCATATCCAAGCTGTGAGATTTGGGGGACCTCTACAGACTGGCTTCTGACCTGTCCATTTCAGACCTTGTTTCTCCTTGACTCTCCTTTGACTTTGTCTTTCTGCCTTAAGCTGTTTTTAGCTCAAACTTAGGGTTTCTTTGAAACTGGATTCCTTTAGCTGAATTCTACTTGTTTCTTTGAACAATACTTTTTTTTTTTTTAAAGATTTTATTTATTTATTTGAGAGAGAGAATGAGAGAGCACATGAGAGGGGTTAGGGTCAGAGGGAGAAGCAGACTCCCTGCTGAGCAGGGAGCCCGATGTGGGACTCGATCCAGGGACTCCAGGATCATGACCTGAGCCGAAGGCAGTCGCTTAACCAACTGAGCCACCCAGGCGCCCTCTTTGAACAATACTTTTGAAGTTTCTTTTTAAACTGCTTTTTTGCTTCTGTTCCTGTCTTTCTTTCCTTCTTGGTCGGCTTTACTGCAGTGGGCTGGCGTTAGGACTTTGATGATAATTACCCGTCTTTGAGTTGGACCACTGATGGCTGCAGAGTTGTGAGGTTGTGCTGCTCTGGTTAGTGCATGGCCTCCCACCAAATCTCTTATCCTCCTCTGCTGGGGCAGGATGAGGATGAGGATGAGGATCTGGAGGTGCACTCCTTAGTGATTGCAGAGGTCTGTAATAGCTCATGATAAAATTCGGTGGGCTCTCTGATTTAGGACTTGGTACTTGCTGCCTGCCTGCTGCCTCTCCTTCAGTTCTCTCTCCCTCGTGATTGTTTGCTAGCAAAATAGGTCTCTATGGAAACATTTCCTGTGTCTTCTGGGCCTGAACACATGGCTGCTTCTGGTCTTCCTAAAATAAGCATTGTCCGCCCTGCCTGTTAGGGTGGTGACATTAAGAGAGCGTTAGTGTGCTGGGGCTGTGAGGAGGCCGGAGCCTCTCTTCTAGAGTCACACCTCATGGTATTTGGCAGCCGTGCTTCCTCATTTGTTTGGGCTTGTAGCTGTTTCCTTCTTTCATTGAAGATGTAGGGTTTGGGTGACAATATTTTTTATTTCTTTTGTTGTTCTAAATTAGCTCTCAGAGGAGTTGGGGGGTGCCTTTATTTTGTCGTCTTACCTGGATAAGAAATTAATTCTGTTGCCTTGAGTTACTTTTGCTCAGTATTGAGTTTTCATTATTGTGTTATCCTTTTCCCCAGAGTTCACTTTCTAATTGTCTTCAAGGTAGAAGTTACTGATAGACATTTTCTGAGTCTTGTGAGTGTAAGTATAGAGATAACAGTTGGGAAACTACACTGCAGTGTTTAGACTTAACCTTTTATGTCACTGAAAGATAAGTCAGTTACTTAGAAATTAGAGCAGTTTTTCCTGTTTGTAGTTGGGAGTCTTAGCTCTTCATCATTTTGCATTTAGCTCCAAATGTGTAGCTATGGATAATTCCATGAAACTCCATGCCTTCTCTTGAAAGAGCGAAGAGTGTATAAATTAACGGTGGAGTATTAATAGAGCTGTCAAGTTTGAAATGCTACATCTCAAAGAGTACTTTGTGTGCCAGCTGAACTCTGAAAACAGTCTCAGAGCCTAAGAACAGATGGCATGAGCCATTGCTTGATCTCTGTGAGAGGCACTTACTAACGAGCTTGTTCACTGGGCTCGTAGGGTCTGAGTTTGTCTTCCAGACCAGGCCCTTCCTTGACCTGTGACTCAGGACAAGCTCTAAACCTGTCTTATTTCAGTTTCTTTCTTTGTAAAAACGAGGGTATCTTGCCCACCTCGTGGGCTGCGTGCATATTTAGTGAGATACAATTTGTGAAAACTTGCAGCCTAGAACCTGCAGGTGGTAAGTACTCAGTGAGTGGATTTCTTTTTCTCTTTATCTCCCTTTCTCTGTATTTATTTGCCTCAGTCAAATAGATAGTATTTATCCAGTCCAATTGATGAAGTTATGGGAGTAAAACTTAAATAGTAGAGGTAAAAATCTGTTAGAAAGCTGATAGAATATGACCTTTCAAATGTCCAGTGGTGTGATCATACATAAAAAATAAAATAAAAGAGTTTTATGATAAAATATATTTTATAGCATATGTATACAAACAGTGAAATAAGAATAAATGTATTTGGCTTTTACCTTTTAGACCCATAAAATGATTATATTTTTATGGAGAGGGTTGGTCCATTTATACTCATTGTTACAAGCCTGTTTTCCCATTAGCTCCTCATAGATCTACGTACACATTTTCTATCTGTACCATTTTCTGAGATTTATAGTATAATGATCTGTAGAGTTGAAATTGAAAAAATAACAAAATTTTCATGGCGAAGTCCTGGTTGGCAGGAAATAGAACCTGCGGAGGTAGAGCAATACCGTAGGATGGATTTCTGATTTCATAAGGTGATTTCCAGGACTGCGTGGTGTGGAATGGTTGATTCGGTTTTGGCCTGCCAGCTCTGTAATTCCAAGTCATTAGGCAGAGCCCCTTCTATTCCTCATCTGCCCTTGGGTTTCTCCAACACTGATGGCCAGATAATGCTTGGAGAGCTGAGTGCAGGAAGGCTCTGGGCTTCTGACCCTGGGGCTGCTGCACCCAGTGGCAGTAGCGAAAAGTGCCACAGGCCACCGCCTGTGCCAGCCCACGTTCCAGGCCCAGGACTCAGAGAGTCCGTGGAGAGGTGGCCTCACCTGTGGACTCAGGCGGAGGGGGGCGGGGGGGGAACGGGAAGGGACACTGACTGCCTGCCTCACGTGGGGGGTTGGGGGTGCTGTGCCAGGTCCCAGAAGCCTCTCATATGGTTTTCCTGTAGTTTTTTTCAGTCCGGCAGTTGATATAATGAACGTTCAACTCTTCAGTTTCTTTTTATTGCCCTTCCACTTTGATTTATTCATCATTTCAAACATTTTCTGTTAATAAGTTGATAACCTTTGAATAGCCTTCTAGGGGTAGTAGGAGATCTTGCTGTTGGGTTTTGTTTTCTCTTTCCTATGCTCCCCTTTTATTTGTCATATATTGGTAAGTGAAAAATGTATCTATAGTTTATGGTCTTCACAATATATTATTATGTATTTTGTTTTCTGCTTTTACTTCATTATGTTAACTTGGATTCTTCATTTACCTTCTCATCCGCTTTTCTGCCCCTTTTCATTGCTTTCATTTTTTAACCTGCATTCTTGTCTTTATTTCCCCTTTTAATGCTTTTGGTAGCTGGGGCACTGTTGCAAATTGTTTTAGGTTATCTGGCTCAGGAAACGTCATTTTTTTGCCTCCAAAGAGAAGATGACCTTGGCCTGGTGTTGAATTTGATCATTCCTATTCTCCTGCCTTTATGGTCCAGTGGAAGGTACTTTATTTCAAGGCACAGAGACGTGAAAATTTTTGCCTAGTTGGTATGCTAAAAAGCTTTACTGCGGTGAATCTTGTCATTTCTTCCACTTTTTGTTTCGGCTGCCAGGAAATGCTGAGCTGAATTTGTGGTTCGACTGAGATAATTTTGGCATATCTGTGTTTTAAAATTTTCTCTTTGGCTTTGATCTTTTGAATTTTATCTGCCATTTCTTTGGTCGTGATCTGTAACATCTTTATGTGATTCCATTTATGTTGCTTATTGTTATACGATACTTAATTATAAGTTAAGTTGCCCTAAGTCGATTGTAGATGGAGGAGTGAGACACAAAGTAAATAAATCATGCTTTTTCTCTGATGACCTGCCCCTTTTCTTCTCATTCTCCACTGTGTTCACATACTTATTTAAAAAAATACTAGATTTTCCTTGGTATGTGCTCTGTGCAATAATTTCTATGTCTCTATTTTCAGCATGATCTTTCTTCCCAAAGGTTGCAGGGAGAGTAGCCGAGGAAAGGGGTGCAGTGCTGGGCCACGAGGTGGGCTACTGCATCCGCTTTGACGACTGCACTGACCCACTGGCCACGAGAATCAAGGTGAAGTGCTCACACTGCTTTTCCTACTGTGAACCAGGAAGAAGATTATTGGGGGGGGCGGGGCTTAAAAACATGCAGCATCACTGCTGACCGAGACCCTGTTACCAGGGCAGAAAGTGTACGAAATCACCTTGTCCTCAGGGAGTTTAGTCTGCGGGGAAGTGTGGAGCTCTCTCAGAGAGTCCTTGAATCGTGGCCCAAAAGGGACCTCGGAAGGAAGGTTGAGCCCTTGGTTCTACAGATGAAGAGCTTGAGGGCCTCGGAGGCTGAATGACTTGCCTCAGGTATGTGCCCGTTGATGATAGAACCAGGACTTGAGGCTGTCCTGTCTTATATGTGTTTTTTGTTTTTCCACCAATCCACATAGCTGTCAAAATATAGAGACTTGCCTGTAAAAGACTGAAAAACAGGGACAAGGCAGTATAAATTGATAAAGCGTCGAATTCACAAATACTATTTTCACGAGTTAGAACTTTCTCACATTTACGTGACGATGGATTTTACTTGCCTTTCTTTGACCTAGTTGCTACTGTTGAACTCGTGTCTGCAGTTATGCGTGTTCCGTCAGCGGAGTGCCTGCTCCGTAGCACAGGGCTGGGGTCGTGCGGGTCGGATGGTTCTGCAGAACAATGGAATGCTCTCAGTTTCCTCTCAGTTTCCACAGAGGAAAGTTGAAAATAATCAGATGAACCAGACAAGGTAGTGATTTATAAGAACAGGGATCTTATTTTCTAAATTTTTGTATTTTGTTACCTTTGAGATTCATTTTGCTGGGTAAAGAGAATATTCTTCTGTACCATCAAATATTTTTAAAGTAGGTAATTTTTAGTGGGTTACATAACCAAATGGTTGTTTTTGACTCTTGCATGAAAAGCTTTTGTATTCCATTTGGTCATCATTTTAGGCGCTCTGCTCTTAACTGGTGCCTGTCATTGGGGACAGGTCCTCCTCACTGCTGTGTGTATGTGTGGCAGCTGGTACCATGCCCAAGAAAAATGTGATGGAAACGTATCCTGTTCTTAAAACAAAACAAAAAGTAAAAGCACTAAACTACAGCATGCAGGGGAGATGGTTAGCCTTGTTCAAGTACTGAGTTATTTTGGGCGGCAGTAATAATATGTTACTGCATGTTTCTGAAGCATTTTATAAACATACATTAATCCTAAATAATAATAACTGATACTCTTTTTTTAAGATTGATTTATTTTAGAGAAAGAGAGGGAGAGCGACAGAGGGAGAGGGATCGAGAGAGAGAATCTTAAGCAGGCTCCATGACCGGCACAGGGCCTGACATGGGGCTTGATCCCACAACCCAGAATTCATGACCTGAGCAGAAATCAAGAGTTGGCCACTTACCCGACTGCGCCACCCAGGTGCCTCCTGATAGTCATGAACACTGTGTACCAGGTCCTGTGCTGAACACTTTACCTGTACTGCCTCTCTCTCTCTATATATATATGTATGTATAATAAACCTCTGAGGTAGATACTTGATTGTCTCCATTTTACAAATGAGGACTCAGGCTCAGAGAGGGTAGGTAACTTGCCCAAGGTTCACACAGCAAGTAAAGGCAGAATGAGGATCTGGGCTCCCAGCCCACTGACACCACGGCCTCTGTTCTTAACCACAGCCCTATCCAACCTCTCTAAGATAATAGCAGTCGAAGCTGAGGTTAGTAACCTCAAGAGCTGCAGGTCTGCAGTCTTTGGGACATTTTAAGAACAATGATCTCAGACTCGTGGCCTTCCTTTGTGTGGACAAGGTTTGTCTACACTGCCTGTTTGTCCACAGTACCAGTAGTGCAGGCCCAGAGGAAATGGGGCTGAGCCAATGTTCAGATAGTAAACGCAGGTGGAATTCTGCTGGAAGATTTGCAGGCCCCAGCTGAGGACCCTGTGATTGAAGTCTTGTTTGTGACCAGTTGCATTGATCGCTAAAGCATTGGGCCGTTTCCTCATGGTCCTTTGTGGGAATTATCTTGTACACACACTGGCGAAGAGTTGTGTGCATTTGGTTACATTTGAACTTTTTGAAAAAATCATTAATGTACAGTGTAAATGAATTATTTCTAAAACTTTGTGTTTTTGTTTTTTAGTTCCTGACTGATGGAATGTTGGTCAGGGAAATGATGGTTGATCCATTGTTAACAAAATATAGGTAATTGTGCTTTTCCTACAATAACTTCCCTGAAGTTTCAAAAAGCACCCAAGTAGTTGTGTTAATAGCTGGGACTTCATGACTGCCTTCAGCTGCCCCAGAGCTTTCTCTTTACCTGGGCTGTTGCAACCTTTGATGCTTTCTCAGAATCTACTAACAGTAAAAAATGGGCACATTAAAATCCCTGTCATTATTTGAATAATCTGTTGACTTGTCATACTTCTCTTGCCTCTGTTATGTCCCAGGATTGATGGTGACTGCAGATCATAGCACAGAACTGGGCAGTGTTTTGTGTCACGTGATACGCAGAGTCCAGATAGTTAGTTACACTGTCTTCCTCTTTGTGTGTCTTTGTCCATTACTCATGGCATTAACATTGTCCTACACAGGCTCTGTGGTATTCTAGGGAAGGACGTTAAATTTGAGTCCTGGGTACATACACGCGACACAGCTGTGATCACATGTCTCTGTGCTGTTCTCTGCAGCTTAACAGTCTTCAGTGGGTGGGGCCTTGTTCCGATTTTTATGTGCTCTGTGGGGTTATGCGTTATATTGTAATTTAAAATCAGGTATTAGTTCCCATTAGAATCCACTATGGGTTATAAAACTCTTTAAAGATAGCAATAAATATACTGTTTTCTTCACCAAGATGTGTTGATATCACCATTTTTATTAGCTTAATAATTCCTTCCTTGTCAAGGGGGAGTAACGTAGCTCAGCTTTTGATACAAGGTGATTGCATGGGGACTGGACACACAGAAGTCCCTTTGATGATCTGGATGGGATTATGTGGGTGGTTTGTCTGATGCTCACCAAGGTCTTCCCTTTGCTTCTTAGTGCCATCATGCTGGATGAAGCCCACGAGAGGACCTTGTACACAGACATTGCCATTGGCTTGCTGAAAAAGGTGTGACTTCACTGCCAGACTTTTGCTCTTGTGTTTTCATTTTGTTTTATTGCTTGATTAGGAAAGTAATTGTAGCAATTGGGAAAATCCAATCAAATAGGAAGGAAAAAAATTTAAATGATCCATAATTCTCCCCATTCAGAGAAAGTCACTGGTGGAATGTTGGTATGTTTCTTCTTTTTTTGTGTGTGTACGTGCATCTGTTTTGGCACGATAGGGATTGGACTGTAGGCACTAATTTGTACCTTGCATGTTTCTCTTAATATTACATCAAAATCATTTTTCTGTGTCATTGAATATTCCTTGAAGACATTGTATTTAATAATGTCTATACAATCATATGTCCCTACCATAAAGTATTTGACTCTTCCCTTACTGTTAGGCATTTATATGGCTTCCACATTTGAAGTATTTGAAATAAAATTGTAATGAGCACCTTTATAATGAAATCTGTTGCATTTCTGTTTTAATTTTTATTTTTTATTCAGACATACTGCAGTAAGAGAAGGGTTTAATGACCCCTCTGTGCCCATCATCTGGATTCAACTATTACAACTCATGGGCAATCTTATTTCAGCCTTACCTCTCCTCCCGTCCTGTATTTTCTGATTGTTTTCTTTGAGCATATTCCCAATCACAGGAGTCTAGAAACAGGGAGTAGACCAAAGTAATTAAAAGCATGGACTCTGGGTCAGATTGCCTGGGTTCAGATTCTGACTGCTGAGTTTACTCATCTCTAAAATGGGGATGAAAGAAGTCTCTACATCTGTGCTAGTATGCTTTCCCCTATGGCAGCCACTAGGCACCTGTGGCAGTCAGCTAATTAAAATAGAATAAAATTAAAAATACAGTTCCTCTGTCACATTGGCCAGATTTCAAGAGCTCTGTAACCACACACGGCTAATGGCTAGTGCATTGGACAGAACCTCTCCATCCTTGGAGAGAGCTCTCTTGGACAGAGCTGTTCTAGATCATCATTTATTGTGAGACTTAAATAAGATCACATAAAATTCTTCAGATGGTACCTGGCACAGGGTCACAAATAGACTGAAGTCCCACTGGTGTACAAATTAGAGCAAGATGCCCGCACTTGGAGGCTGTCCACAGCTAGGTGAGGGGAGGATGTTCTGGGCTTCAGATGCCCCTAGCGCTCTCAGCCGGGCATCTCTGCACAGCCGTGTGCAGAGACCTGGGAATAGCACATCACTTAGTACATGTTAGTTGCCATTGTTCTTGTTGTTTTCATGATGTTATTCTTTGGCCAAAGATTTATACTTTTGATACTGATTAGGGATAATCCCACCTGCTTATTATTCTCTGGGAAGCAGTATAATAAGAGGCTTATTTCACTGAATCTTTGTGAGCCCTGAGTATTAGCCTTAAATAAATCTTGGCCAGTGCGATAGATGAAAAAGTAATGTCATGTTATCATATATTTTTGCTATGCTTTATATGATCATTTCTTCTCTGCCTCTTGATCATTCCTTTCTTTGAATAACTGTTAAGATCTTTTGTCCATATTTCTGTCTCAGTGTTATCCTTTATTGTTTGTTTGTTTTTAATGTACTTTTTCATACTTCAACTGCATATACATAGATTCTGACTATCCAGAAATCCAAGTATCAGGAAGAAATGGTTTTACTTTTGGTAAATTCAAATTCAGTTCCTAAAGCTCCTTTAAACTTTCAATAAACATTTTTTTTAATGTTTTTATTTTGGAAAATTTTACTATTTAAACAATTAGAAAAAATAGTATAATGAACCACCTTTTACCTATGACTTTAATAGTTACCAACTTGTGGTCAGTCTTGTTTCATCTATAAGCTCCGCCCTTGACTCCCCAAAAATACACACACTGATTTATTCTGAAGTAAATTGCAGGTACCAAAATATATCATCTGTACGTATCGCACTGTTTCATTTTTTCCTAATGCCTTCTTTTTTAGATTCAGAGAAAGCGAGGGGATCTTCGATTGATTGTAGCTTCAGCCACTCTGGATGCAGAGGTAGGAACATTTCCTGCCTCACCCTGCTGTTCCCGTAAGCACTGGAATTGTTGGACATGTCCTTGGGAAGTTACCTTTAGCGAGAGCTTATCTTTCTGGCCTACCTTCCTTATGGGGCCATCTGATGTCCTAGATTCCATATGAGCTTGTGGGTGGAAATTAACCTGTAATTAATTGAGTTCATAATTACCTCCTCCTCTTGTTTCTCTACATACTGTGTTTCTCCCCACATAGGCAGTTTCCTTTTGTTACTTTTTTCAGTATGAGGTTATATTTCTGAAATTTATTTATGACTGTAGCATTTAGGTTTAGATGTTTATGTGTACAATTGAAGTTTTCCCTGTACATATAGTAATTTATGTTATAATTTTTATGGCTCAGCTTATACTATTTTTCTCTCTTACCAATTAATATTTTAGTTCAAAACAGCAGTTCAACTCAAATAATTTTGACCACTTGTTATATATGAATATATGTATATAAATATATAACTAAAAATATATGAATATATATACACAAGCTCAGCGTGGTGCTGGCTACAGGTGATTCATAACCTCCCTGACTTCTTGGGAAGCAGACACATAAATAGATGTTTACAGATCAGTATGTCAAGGTGCTGAGACAGCCAGAGAGGGGGCTGCTTAAGTCTAGCTGGCTGGAGAACGTCCAGAAGCTTTCACAGTGGTGAGATATCCCATTTGGTTTCAAAAGATGCACAGAAGTTTGCCTGATGGGCAGGGTTGGGGAAGGGTGTCCTAAACATGCATAGAACCTCAGGGTCGTGAAATAGTGTGTCCGAGGGGCTGGGAGGCAAGTGGAGGTGGGAGTCTTACTTTGCCTGTAGGGCCCTGTGGGGGACAGTCTCTGCCCCCCAGTCACCTCTCTTGTCACCTCTCTGACTTCATCTCTGTCCAGTCTCTCCCATGCTCCTTACACTCCAGCCTCACCTTGCTGTTCCTCAGAAAAACCCAGGTATGCTTCTACTCCGGGGGGACCCTCTCTGTAGACCATTCTTACCCCACACGTTCTCATGGTTCTTCGCTCATTTCAGTTCAGTCTTGACCACGTATTATCCTCTCAGAGAGGCCTTTCCCGACTACCCTGATGGAAACAGTGCCCTGCTGCTCCATTGTCTTACTCTGCTTAGTTTTTCTGTTTAGCACTTATTTCCACCTAGCATAACGTGCATAGCCAAGTGTTTGTTTATTGTGTGTCTTCTATTAGTAAAATATAAGCTCCATGAAGATTGGGACTTTGAATGTCTTACTCATTATTTTATCCCTTTCACCTAAAACAGTGTCTGGCACAGAGTAGATGCTTTAGGTTCAGTGATTTTTGATAGAGTGGGAAGCAGTGGGAGATTAAAATGGAGACGCTGGTAGGCATCAGGTGATGGACGGCATTACAGGCCAAGTGAAGGAGGAAGGATCTACCCAACACCTGTTTGGGAGTCCTGGGATGTGTGTGAGCTGTGGCAGTGACTTGATCATGTTCGAGTTCTAGAAAGATCACTCTGGGTGTTGTGTAGAAGAGGCAAGAGTAGTTGTGGAGATACCAGTCAGCAAGCCAGTTGTGTTAGCCAGCTGACATATGAAAAGGGCCTGGCTCCTGGCTCCTGGCCTCCCTGTGGCTTCAGGGATGTAGAGCAACTGAGGGAAGAAACTCAGCATGGCTAAGAGGGGTGTCTGCGTGCATAGCCTGGCTGGTTTCTTGGACCTTCTCACAGGCTGTAGGAGCTTGTTGTCTTCAGTCTGCACATGATAGCCTTTGGGTCAAAGCTCTTTGTTGCCCTCTTGAATTACTTCTCACCCCCCTAAGCCCATGGCACCCACCAGAACGCCGGTTTAGGGGCTACACCCAGCCTCACCTCCCGCCATCGCCTCCATGCCCACGTGGCACAGAATGTCTTCCTCTGTTTTACTTTTTACCTTCGTCACCTCCTCTCTCTCTTTTAAAAACGAACAGTTTTTACTGTGTTTTGAAAATTACCATGTCCGAGTCTTTTCTTAGAATTGTTAATATTTATCGCTTCCAATATCCTTTTGTTGTCTTTTGGTGTGGCACAGAGATTTAAAAAAAGAGCTTCTTTCCAATCTGCCTACAATAGTTGGTCTAGGTAGACTTTCTGGAAGTTTTTTCAAGTGGAAAAATGGAGTGTAGGAAACTTGGCCTGGCCTGGGGCGTGCTCTGACGCAGGGCACGCTGGGCCTTCAGTAGCCATCAGCTGGGCCTTCGGTGGCTGGGACCTTCACTCCTTCACCCATCCTTGCCCAGTGTGTGTGTCTGAGCTGGGACCTGGCGGGTGGAGTCCTTCCTCTGTGACTGAGGGCATGTGGGGCGTGGGAGTCCTAACGTGAGAGTAGGAGGGTGAGGAGGGAAAGCAGTGGGCTGAGGGGGGGAAGGGGGAGAGTGGAGATGGCATGTGGCTTTGGGCAGCATTGGACCTGGAGGCCCAGGCCTGCCAGACCCCCTCCCTGGTGCCCCAGCTGCTAGGTCTATGGGTGACAGACTAATTCTAAGCCCTGCTGCCTGGAGGGATAGATGCCCTCTACTCTGGTTTCGCTCAGGGCCCAGGGTGACCCAGCCTGGTGGTGTCCCACCAGTGACAGCAGCTGGGAGGCAGAGGCGGAGTATGAGCGGGCTGATCACATCGTTGCCTTGATTGGGTTAGCTGCTTTGTTAATGTAAGCCTAACTATGCGAGCTGTTATAGAGCATGACCAGGTAGAATTATGAAGTATTAATGTTTTTTTTTAAGATTTTATTTATTTATTTGACAGAGTGTGCACAAGCAGGGGGAGCATCAGGCAGAGGCAGAGGGAGAAGCAGGGCAGGGAGCCCTCTGCGTGAGGCTCTATCCCAGGATCCTGGGATCATGACCTGAGCCGACAGCAGACGCTTAACCGACTGAGCCAGCCAGGTGCCCCTAATTATGAAGTATTAATTGACCATTGTATCACTAGCTATTGTTTTTCTTTTATTTGTTTCCATCCACATGGCAGGAAATAGGGTTGCTGACAACTCCTACAGTTTTTTTGTCATCGGTTCAGCTTCTTGGAGAGAGACTAATTTCTCTTTCCAGATTCCTAGAGAAGGAACTGGGGGTCACCTGGGTCAGGTACCCACTCTGAACCAATCTGCATGGACCAAGGGCTGTTGGCCCAGGGTGGGCGTGTTGTGTAGACATGGCTGCTGGGAGCTCACTTCTGTGGGTCAGGTCTGAGCAGCTACCAGGGAAGGAAGACGGCCCAGCAGATGTGCACATCATTTACATTCTGTTTCAGACTGTCCTCTTGCTTTTTGTCATTTTATGTTCCTTGCTGTGTGTCTGTGTTGGTGTGAGCCCACTTGTTTAAAACCTGACTCACGTTCTCCTTTTCCCTGTGAAATGAACTCATCTTCATCTCACTCTTGCCTTTCCTTCACTGTCCCACAAGGCGTATGCTGTTGATACCAGATTTATTTGCTCTCTAGTCTGTACTTTTCTGTATGTGCATATTTTATATTTCCAGGTAAAGATAAAAGATACATATCTTAAGGATAGAGATCTCATGCTTTCTCAGTAAATGCTGAATTTTATTTCTTGAAAGAATAACTTCTGGTCTGCTCTGTTCAGCACCACATTGTCAGGAATGAGGTGTCCTCCCTGTTCTGCCTGCCTTCTTGGTAACATTCAGCTCCATTCACCAAGTCGTTCTTAAAATCTTCCTCTGTCTGCAGCTTTGGAATACCTGCCGTCTCCCCTCTTTCCTGCCTCCCTGAGGCATCCCCCTCAGACTCCTTTGCTGGCTGCTCTTCTTCCTCAAGGCTGCCCACCTCCATGGCCCCTGGTTCAGCTGACGCTTTGTGCTTGTGGCCGTCCTGACCGTGTTCCTGTGCTCCAGAAACTCACAGACCTGTGAGTCCTGCTGCCCTGTGACTGTTGGCTTCTCTGTGGCAGTCCCTCTCTCATCGTGGTCATTCAAGACTTCCTTTGCTTTAGAAAGTATTCTCCCAGACTAAGAAGTAACCCCCTCCTCCCCAGCGTGCACGTGCGTGCGCTCGCACTCACCGATTGCCAGGCCCCATCGCTCATACCTCTGGCACGCTTCGCTTTTGCCTGGCCCCTGCCCAGTGTTGGCCTTCATTCTCTCCTCTGAGCTATTCCAGTACCTTCCTGAATTAGCTTGCCTCCAATCTCTTATTGTCTCTGCCCTCCTCCAAAACGGCCACCCGAGCCAGGCATCTGCAATACCGGTCTGATGACGTCATGCCCATGCTCACTGCCCCTATCTTTCCCATCAAATGAAGTGCCCGTGAAGCATGACATTTGGGCCCCTTCAGAGTGATAATAAGATCACTTACTGAGTACAATTCTAGGCCAGACTGGTGCTGACTGCAGTCCGCACCCAGGGTAGATGGCAGTTTGTTCTTTTGTAGACGAGAGGACTAACTCAGAACGGGGCTGGCCTGCCCTAGACCTTGGGCTCTCTCCTTTGTCGGTGGCCCCTTCATGTCTTAGTCTACACTCTGCTGTCATCCTGGGAAGAGTTGTCCCTTCTTCTTCCAGGCAGTAATAGTCTTCCTCGTCCGTTCAGGCTTTACCAGGGGGTACTCCTGCCTCCATGAAACCTTCCCTGAAAGCCGCTCAGTGTTGACCTTTCGTTCTCGCTGCGTAACTTTTGACTTTTTTCTGGTTATGTGGTCATTCTGCCTCGGTTTGTGTTATGATTGGTTCTTGGTGTGCCCGTCCCCCCGGATTATTCACTCTTCTGGGGTGTGGGGGAGCTGTCTCTTCTCACTTGTTCGTATATCACTTGTAGCCTGCCTGTGTTATGCACACCACGGGACACAGGAGGGCTGAAGTCACTTGAACCGAATTGAGCCAAAAGGGAAGTGAAGAATGGTGCCAGGAGGTCCTTCGTAGCACAACATGGTTCTTTTGTTGGCATGATGTACTTTTACGTCTTTGCTTACTCTTCTCAGATACAACTTTGAGGTCAGCATATCGCACCCCATTATTCTGTAGTTCAGTCCAGTCAGCTCTTGTAGAGGTGCTCCTCCATGTCCATTCACTGCATTCGATGCAGTCCTCAGTGCACCCCGGGCTCCCGGTGTCCAGGAGCAGGCATCGGCATGGTTAGTAAAGATACACGGGGAAGTAAAGGAGGCAGGACTGTGGTCACATAGCCAGACCTCCTAGGATAACAGAAAGCGATGCCCAGCCAGGCCTCAGGGGGACTGTGGAATATCACCGGTGGGGCCCCGATGACGTACTCCCCCCAGCAGGATTTCCGTGTCCCTCCACCACCGACACAGCAGCTTCCCCTCTGGCCCTCACCCCCCTGCACAGAAGCGTCTCTGTGTTTCTGGGGTCAGGCTCCCCGTGAGGGGATCTTCAGTGGAATCTCCCTGTCCCGTCTTCGGCCGGAGCTCTCATGCCAGGCCTCCCCGTAGTCTGCCAGTCTGGCGGTCAAGTGTGCCGTCGAAGAAGGCGTAGCCACCTGTCCTGGAGGGACTGCCAGGAGCTACTTCTCAGGGTACTGTGGCAGTGCCGGGCAAGTGCATACTGGGCAACCTGCCCAGACGGGGTGGTGTGTTAACTGCCACAGGGCATGGGGGTGGGGGAGACACTGTCCCGGCCTGCAGTCTGGGGAGGTTGTGGTAAACCTGTATGCGTCTGTAGCTGCAACACTAGGGCCGTACCTAGCGTTCCTAGAGATGCAAGTTCTCTTTATACATTGATAACCTGTGTGGTCAGATACGTGCTTTTCTGATTAAAACTACACATCAACCTGATTTAATCTGTATTTAATTTGAATCACACCTTTAGTAAGATACAGGGGATAAAAATAAGAAAAGTAATACCACAGCTACATGTTGACCCAGATGCATTAGTGAATAATACAGTTTTGAATTCTAACCTGTATTTTATCAAACCTTAGTAAAGAGTCTGGTATTGAAGTGTGATTCCTCAAAATTGCAATAATTAAAAAAAAATAGTATTGTTAGTAGTTATTTTGTAACCCATAGTCTGTGTTATATATATATATCCAGTCTCTACTACCCACCCCCTGCTCTGCCAGTTTTATATTATTTTCTTTCTTTCGGTGAGTTACTGTGAACCATTTTTTTTTTTTTTTTTGAGAGAAATGAAGTACTCTTTTTTTTTTTTTAATAGAAATTTCGGGATTTCTTTAATCAGAATGAAACCAATGACCCAACGAGGGATACTTGTGTGATCCTTACAGTAGAAGGGCGAACATTTCCAGTGGATATCTTTTATCTACAAAGGTTTGATGATAACTTGCATTTTGTGTGTGTGTGTGTGTGTGTGTGTGTGTATTCGCCTGAATAGTCAGGGAACTTCCACCTATTTTATTTAGGTTTTCATTTTTTCAAATCCAACCAGAAGCTAAATACAATTGGAAACCAGTAAGCACTAAGTTTTACTCCAAAGGAGTAGGATCATTCAGATTTATTCCATAAAAGTATGCAACCCTTAAGTATACTTGCATTTTTAATGATGGTGATTAGCAAATTGGGCCTGAGTTATGGAATGAGAAGCCACTGTATCTGCTTGCAGCCCCAAGGGCAATATATCAGGCTGCTGAGAGGAGCATGTTTTGTGTCTCCTGTCATTGATAGGATGTTCTGGAACCCTGCTCAGTATCACTGCTGAATGCAGTTGAAACTCTTGACACTGATGTGTAAATTTCTATGAGTCTGTGGTCAGTAGCTCAGTTGGAAAGAGCAAAGTGGTAACAAGATTACAGGGAAGAGGCTTGATAGTCTTCAGAACTGGGGTTTATAAGACTGCCTGTCTCTGAGGGCAGCAGTGATACTTTGAATCATTTGTTCTTAGCTCTCTACATCTTAGCAAGAAGGCCTGGTTGATATGGTTGGGAGGAGCCCCCTTAGATAGGAAGAGACCATCATAATTACCTAGTCACTGGACAAAGACCAGGAGCCTGGTACAGTGGTTGATAAATCCGGAGAGTTGTGGGTTTGACTTGTGAGTTTTTCCTCCTGGATAGCATATCTATTAGCTCTGAACAGCCTACTCAGACATGTTGCTAGTGGTCAGGAGGGAAGGTGGAAAGTGTGGGATTTGGCATTGGGACCGCAGTGCCCGATTTTCATTGACCAGGTATCTTTGCATGCTAAAGATAGCACATTTATTTGCATGGGTTTTTATTTCTTTGCAAATAAAGCTAAGAATCATGGTATACATGTAATTATGGATTACTTTTGGATGCTGCCTTTAAAAAAAAGAAGAAAAGGGAGTGAATGTTTATTTATTCATATACTGTTTACCTGCCAGGCAGGCCCAAACTAACTTTCATGAAGCTTTGCTGCCAGATTATTAGGGTAATTAATCTATAATTAATGAACATGTCTAGCGATGAATTTATCTCGTACATCTTTTCAGTCCTGTTCCAGATTATATCAAATCAACTGTAGAAACTGTGATGAAAATTCACCAGACAGAGGGAGATGGAGACATACTAGCATTTCTGACTGGACAGGTAATTCCACTGGAATTTTCTCTGATGAACGGACACGTTAAGGCAGCACCAAAATTAAACAGGGGCCTGTTCCTTTACTTAGCCATTCATTTCATGTTTTATTGTGTTTTGTGTTTACTTAATGGCATACAAAATTGTTTGGATTGATGTCATTCATCTACTGACTAGGTTGTCAGGGAATCATTAGTTCCCAGCTATTCTGTCTGCAGAGGGTTCAATATATTTTAAATTTATTAGTTGAGTCCAGAGTAAATGATGTAGTCAGTGGCTGTTTTGTTTACTACAATGAAATATTGCGTTAGGTACATTTTGTGCATGTGTGTTGCTCCTGCAAGCCTCTTTCCCATTGATACCGCTCCTCCTGGAGGTGGTTAGTGGGCATATCTCTGGAAGGACAACTGAACAAGCCCAAGAGCACTGTTCAGAACCGCCCTCCCGCCATAATCTTTTCCACTGTCAACACTTTCCACGGTACCGTAATCTCTTCTGGGGAAAGCTTCTAGTGATTGCATGTGTCACGGCTTGTCCTTATGTATGACATGCTTTGTTTGGCCACAGTACATGAAAGCCAAGTAAGATAGGTTTGGTTTTGTTTATCAGGAGCTCTTCTATTCACTGCAGATAGTATAGATTTCAGTAATGAATCTGACACTTGCAAATTTTCACCCCATAGGCACCGCTGTTCAGTAGCATTTGATTAAAAACCACCCCCAAGCAGAGTGTGGTCACACTAGAAATCATGACTCTGACTGCAATTAAAACTCTGATCCCGATTTTCATTTTCTTTCAAGTCTGATAAAATGATGTGCTTTGGATTGATCTTGGTTTCTTTGGTTTTTCCTGGTTGGGTGTCTTTAGGAAGAGGTGGAGACTGTCGTGTCTATGCTGATTGAGCAGGCTCGGGCGCTGGGTCGAACTGGGATGAAGAGACACCTCCGGGTTCTCCCCATGTACGCAGGACTACCTTCCTTTGAGCAAATGAAAGTGTTTGAAAGGGTGTCCCGCAGCGTCAGAAAGGTGAGACTAACCCGATGACCAGGGCTGTTTGCAGCCAGCTGGGGTCGTGTCGGTGCCCCTTTCCTATGCACTGGGAAGACTTTTTTTTTTTTTTTTAATTGAAGTGAAACTTGCTAAATGGGAAGGTTTCTTTAAGAGTTTTAAGTCCGTGCTTCTGTGCAGTGGATCTAAAAGCACACAATAAATCGTATGTTGTAGAGATTTCTAAACCTGCCTCACAGAAGGGTCACTCTGACAGTAATTACCAGAGCAAGTGACTTCTCTTTGCCTCTTTTCCGCCTGCTCAGTATTTCCCCACGGCACAATACTAGCTTGGCTTAAACGACTGTCTGGGTGAATTGTGATCAGTCAGGAACAATAGCTAAATTACTACAAATGGTTTGTTTTTTTTTTTAAAGATTTTATTTATTTATTTGAGAGAGAGAGAATGAGATAGAGAGCATGAGAGGGGGGAGGGTCAGAGAGAGAGGCAGACTCCCTGTTGAGCAGGGAGCCCGATGTGGGACTCGATCCCGGGACTCCAGGATCATGACCTGAGTCGAAGGCAGTCGCTTAACCAACTGAGCCACCCAGGCGCCCTACAAATGGTTTCTAAACCATTTGTTTTAGACATCAGTTAGCCTATGAAGCCAAATTTAAATCAGTTAATTCAGGGTGTGGCTTAAAAATATTTAGCCTTGAAATTGGGGTGGGGGAGGGTGTGGTGAGAAGCACTGGTTGGAAGGAACCAGCAGGCAGCCAGTCTGTGTCCTGCTCATCACCCCCTGGGCCTTACTTGGCTTTCCTTCCCATTAGATGAGGAAGGCATAGAACTAGCCCGAAGCTGGCTTATTGTAGCTGTTTATCAGCAAGTGGCAGAGAGGACAGTAGGTGAGGGATGGTCTGAGGGTCCACTCCCAATTCAGACCCCTTGGAAGAAGGTGCTCAGCCTCATGGCCATTGGGATGAAGCACCTCACGTCGGCCCCGCCAGATGTGAACTGTGGCCAGTCAGTCAGGAGGCCTGGATTTTGTGCCTGAGTTACTCTGTGCCTGGTTGAGTTACTCAGTCTCAAGCCCAGTTTTTTCAGCTGTGAAACATAAATAAGAACCTTTGGATCGGTGGTTCTCTGGTGTAAAATCTTAAATGTCTACTGTATAAAAATGGTAGGAAGATTTTTATAAGATGATAGATATAAAAGTGCCTTTAAAAAGTTCTAAATGCTGTCTATCTATACGTGTTCCTTGCTTCTCGAAACCTTCCAGGGGCAGTGCCCAGTGCACTTGAGATAAAATGTAAACACCTCACAGTGGCCCAGAGACAGCACATGATCTGGCCCTTGCTGTCCTCCAGCCTCATCTCGTCCTTCCTCTGGATTCTGGCCTCCCTGCCTGTTTCTCCTTTCTGTGAACTCTTTCTTCTGCTTGGATCTCTAGAGGGTTGCCTGCCTCTTGTTACTCAGGCCTCAGTTCAAAATCTTTGTTTAGAGAGGCTTTCCCTGGCCATCCAAAGTAGCACAGCCCACTATTATTAATACACAGGGAACGCTTTAAATGCTATGTAATGTTGTATTACTGCTCTTTCGCATTTTGTTCATGGTATTTGTCACTCTGAGGTTATCTGCTTGTTTATGTTCACTGCTTCTCCACCCAAACACACTAGAATGCAGACTCTGGGAGAACAGGGGCCTTGTCTTCCTTGTTCATACATGCCCAGCACTTTGAACAGTGCCTACAAAACACAGACTTTCAGAAAATAGTTCCAAGTGTGAGTGAATGAATGAATAAAGATGTTCAAGGTGGTGATTTGCTTTAGTTGTGCAGAAGGCAAAAACTAACATTTGTTGAGTATTTATTATGGGCCAAGCACCAAGCTGTAATTGCTTTATGGATATTTCACGTTTGATGCCCCCACAACCCAACAGGGGGTGAATATTCTGTAGATGAGGGACTGGCAGGAATTTAAGTAACTTGCCCAAAGTCACACCTTGGAGAATTCAAACCCAGGGCACCCTGACCCTAAAACTCCTGTTCTTTCCAGTATATTAAACTGCCTCTTACAGATTCTACACTGTTGGACATATCTTTAATAAATCTTTTAGGATTTTGAGTAGTTTCTTAAAAGTGAAAAGAACCAAATAACTTCTTTTTACTTTTCTTCTGTGGGGACTTAGGTGATAGTGGCCACCAATGTGGCCGAAACCTCCATTACAATCAGTGGGATTGTGTATGTGATTGACTGTGGCTTTGTGAAACTCCGAGCCTACAATCCCAGGACGGCCATTGAGTGCTTGGTGGTGGTCCCGGTGTCCCAGGCATCAGCCAATCAGCGCGCAGGACGTGGTGGCCGCAGCCGCTCTGGAAAATGTTACCGCCTTTATACAGGTTAGTGTGGCGTTCCTTCAGGGCTTTTGACTTTCTCCTAGTTAGTCTGAGCACTGGAGAGTATCACAGATGTTTCCCCCATGTGCAGAACTTCACATAAAATCCAGACTCCCCCCTCACCAGGCCCTCTGTCCCTTGGCCCCGCTGCTCTCTTTGCTACTGCTCCCCTTGGCCGAGGTTGGCCCATGAGTCCCCAGTTATTGCCATCCCCATTCCCAGCCTAATGTCTGGGTGTAGACCTCCCTGTAGTCTGAGCCACGTGTCTCGGGTCCTGTCTTTCTTACCTTTCCGTCAGCTTAACGTGCTGCTTTCTTGTTTTGGGAAGAACGAGAATCCTGACTCCTATGAGGCCTCACAGTGGGTTCCATTTTTGCCTCTGGTTCAGAGCATCTTTGCAGAGTGAAAATGGCAGGCTCTGTCCTGAGACCACTGATAGAAAGCAAGTAGTTGTTCAGCTCCTGCTCTGCGCCAGGCACCATGCTAGGCTCTGAAGAAGCAAGATAAAATTATGATAAAGACTATCCCAGCCCTTCGGGAACTTTCTCTCCAGCTTGAAGGCAGCCTTGCCTTCAACAGTGATATGTCCAGAGCTTCTCTCTCTCTCTCTGTGCCTCTCTTTTGTGGGTGATGGCACCAAGATTTCTCCTCAGTTGTCCAGACTTAATTTTCACATTATTTTTAATCCTCTGTCCAGCATCCATCTGCGCTCACTTCCCAAATCCAGGGGTTTTGTCATTTGTCTCTTCTTTCCTTCCGGTAACCATCACCCTTGTTCAGTCCTTATTTTTTCTTGTAGCGAATGTTTACAGAGCACCTGCTGTAGGCCAGCCACTGTGCCAGGGTTTGGAGATCTTGGGCTAGGTGAGACGTGGTCTGTGGGCACGTGGTGGACAGCCAGGTGCTGGAGCCAGCCCTGCAAACAGGTCGGCATATTATGGTGTGATAGGGTCGCCATACCGGAATGAGCCTTGCAAGCAGAGCACAGGGAGTTATCCTACCGGGGAGGGCTTCACAACTGAGCATTTGTGCCTGATCTTCCTGGCCATCCAGCGGTTCTCCAGGGGAAAGGAGAGCACCAGGCAGAGGGAATGGAATGTTACAGGTATGTGGTGGGGAGGAAGCAGGTAAGGGGAGTATCCATGGGAGGGGGCAGGCAGAGCCAGAGGCTAGGGCGATAAGGAGGAAAGATGGGAGAGGAAAGAGAGCACCGAGGGTTAAAAGGCATCTGGAAATTTAGAAGAAGAGAAAGTTTCAGAATACTTGAAAACAAATGTATTGAGGTGCAATTCATATCACATAAAGTTAACCATTTTAAATCAAACCGTTCAGTGGGATTTAATTACATCCGCAGTGTGCATCACTGCCTCTGTCTAGTTTCAGAATATTTCCCTCACTCTGTACCCATTAAGCAGCTTCTCCGCACTCCTCCCTGGAGACCACCAGTCTGTTCTGTCTCCATGGGTTTATCCGTTTAGGATATTTTGTATAAATGGGATCATAAATATGTGACCTTGTGTGTCTGGCTTCTTTTATTTAGCGTAATGAATGCTAAATGTTTTCAGGTTCATCTCTGTTATATTAGTGCTTCATTCTTTTTTTTTTTTTTTTCTTAAGAGAGGGAGAGGGGGGTTGGGGGCACGGGGGAGAGGGAGAGAGAGAATTTCAAGCACGCCCCCGCCCAGCACAGAGCCCAACTTGGGGCTTAGTCTCACAACCCTGAGATCATGACCTGAGCTGAAATCAAGAGTTGGCCGCTCAACCGACTGAGTCACCCAGGTACCCCAGTGCTTCATTCTTTTTTATGGCTAAATAATAGTTCATGGATGGATATGCCACAATTAATTTATCTATACATCAGTTGATTATTTCCACCTTTTGGCTTTTGTGAATAGCTGGTACTATGAAATTGTGTTTTGAGTACCTGTTTTTAATTCTTTTGAGCATATACCTGGGAGTGGAATTGTGGGGTCATACATGTTGAACTTTTTGAGGAACTCAGGCTATTTTTAAAGAGGAAATGGCCCGCGTATCTCATCCTCCAAAGAAATAAAGTCACAGAATGCAGACTAAAGGTAGGTCGATTTGGTTGAAAGGTCACCAGCCTCCTTAGCAGGAGCAGTTTTAGTGGAGTGGGGTTGGGTAGGGCCCACCTGACAGTAATGGGGTACACTAGCATCCAGCCTCTAGGCTTTCTTGGCTGACTGGCTTTCAGATGAGCTTTCACAGAGTGTAGTCCTGAGCAGGGTGCTATGTGCTCAGACCCTGAACTGTTTCCCAGAATCCTCCAGGACTTTTCCTGGCTTATGTTCTCCCACTATCCACATACCTGCCCTACACTGCATCCCAGCTGCACTCCGCTCTTCCTAAACGCACTTTCTGTTTTTCTACATCCACATCTCATATCTTTGATACCTTTCCTTGGGCTGTTTCCTCCGCCCAACAGATCCCCCTTATCCTTCAAATCCTCTCGCAAATGACAACTTCCTCATGAAGTGACCTCACATGCCTTTTTGCAATGACTGTGTTTCCTCCTTCCCTGAGCCTCCACTCTCCTTCAGGAGGACTGTTCACTGGGACCTGGCCTTGGAGGTGACCGTTTTTGGTCTTGGTTCCAGGCCCTTTCATATCACTGAAGCTTCTGGAGGCTGTTCCTGCTGCTCTTGGCCCAGGGCCTCACACACTTGGTCTTCAGTAGAGTTTAATTGGATGTCATAAACTCTTGGGCAGCACTGTTTCCTGTGAGCGGCTTCTCAGCAGGGTCGTCCTGGTATCTGAGAACATCGATTCTCTCTCTGTCAGCAGTATGCTTGGAAAATGTGGTTATCCTACCAAAAAGCTATCCCCCAAATGCTCTTGAAACTCAAAAGGAATGTTCCATCTGGAACTTCCTGCTGTTGCTTGTTCTTCAGCATCTCCCAGTTAGACCCGTGCCTGTGGCCATTTGTATCAGTTGGTCCACAGAACATTGGTTATCTGTTCACTCACAACCTTTTTGAAAAAGTTCTTCAGTGATAGTGCTATTTCTTCATGACACCTCTTGTTGTTTTCTTTCTCTAGTTAACAAAAGCCTTATGATCTGCACGGAGGTTGGGCCAGCCTCGACTTAAGGAGGGTGTGCAGTTAAAATGTTGACTGATGTGAGAGGGATTTTGTGGATGGAGCCTTCTCTATATAATCTATAAGCTTTCTGAATATATACCAAAGTGATTTAATCCCTTCCTCCCTCTCCCCGCCCCCTTCACCACCCTGTTTGTCAGGCTTTTATGAAAAGGCCTCCAGGGTCTCTTCCTCCCTACCCCCTCTCCTGCCCCTCCCATCTTGGCACCTCTATGCCTTGTGGTGCTTTTTCCTGTTGGAGGTCACCTTTTGTTCCTAATGGGGCATGTAAGCATTCGTTGATCTGTTTGGTGACCAGATTTTGAGTGTGATGCGGGCCTGGCTCGTTGGTTTTAAAAGTTAGATTTGGACAACTTTTGCTCTTTGTAAGATTTGGTCTTTTCTTATATTCTGGTTACCATTTTGGTGATTTACTTTGAGATTGTTCTTTGCTTATAGTTACAGGTCTTGCCTTCCAGACTTACTGCAGCCCCAAGCAGAGGGCCTGGGTGCCAGTCGTGATCCAGCACATACCTGTGGCTTTGATTTCATGTTCTGCTGACAAAAAGCACATTAAAAAAGCATCCTATAGTAAAAGAACAGACTTGTATAAAGATATATTATTTATAGAGATATAAACTGCTAAGGTACCTTTTAAATAGAATGGTCTTTTCTAAATGTGAAACTACTCCATGTCGTGATATCATATGCATCTGATCCTAGAGTCTTCAAGCCTCTCTTTAGAGAAGGAAAACTGTCCCGTGGGCATCATGATGATTGCATTTGATTGTGGCATTTGACCCTAAATAGTTCTGATTTCTTATCCTCAGAGGAAGCCTTTGACAAGCTGCCTCAGTGCACCGTCCCTGAGATGCAGCGTAGCAATCTGGCGCCTGTCATCCTACAGCTGAAAGCGCTAGGGATCGACAACGTCCTCAGGTTCCACTTCATGTCGGTAAGTCCTGCCTTCTCTCTGGAATGCCCACGGGCAAATGTCGGGACATAAGATTAGAATGCATCACTTCTTGGTTTTGGTTTTTTTTAATTTCCCCTTAGCTCGTGTGTTGTGTGCCTACTTTGGACCAGGCCCTGTGCAGAGTATGGGGGAGCAGGGCCAGACAGGGCAGACACAAATCCTGTTCTTGCCTGGGGGGGTGTGGATGACAAGTAAGTGGGTAATTGCCGTGCGTGGGTCCAGTGCTCTGAGACAAAGGAAGGGCCCCCAGCCTGGTTAGTTTTGTGTGGAGTGAGACCTGAAACCCAAGTAGGACTTCACCAGGTCAGGAGGTGGGGAGATCCGGGACGGCGAGTGTGTGGAGGTCTCCGTGAGGGAGTGTCACAGCTGGGGGAGCCAGGAGGGCTGTGATAGAGCTGCGGGGGAGGTCCTCGTGGCTGATCGCCCTTCTGCTTATTTCCTGGGGTAGGTCCCTGGAGTAGAATTACTGGGTCAAACAGCCATAGTGTTTTGTACATCCTTGCTGTGTGGCCAGATTGCTGTAAGCTCCAGCAGCGCACGCTGCCCCACACAGTGCCTCTGCCATGCCGTGGTACTTTCTTTTAGAGGTTTGCTTCTTTGTTGATGTCAAGAGGTAGAAGGGAAGGGAGGACAAATATCTGTTCCTTATTATTTGATTTCTCAAAAGACAGTTTAAAAAAAAAACATTTATTGTCCACTTTATATTTCTTCTGAATTGTTAAGCCATTTATCTGTTAGAATTAGTGTTTATTGTGGTTTTTAAGAGTCCTTTAATTATTAAAGACATTAATCTTTGTTTATAGTATTTCTTGCAAATGGTTTTTTAGTTATTTGTATTTTATTGTTTTTTTATTTATTTTTTTTAATGTGCAGACATATAAGTATTTCCATAGTAAAATCTTTCTATCTCTGTCTCTCTGATTTCTTCTGTTATTCCTGTTCTTATGAAGCACTTCCCCACATCTAGGTCAGTTAGTAAACATTCAGTCATATTTTCTTCTTGAATTTTTATGATTTGAAGACTAGTGTTTTATCTCTTGTTCTATCCCAGCTGCATTGTTATGTGGTGTGAAAAGCCCGGATTCTCAGATAATAAAGTCCCTCATGTCATATATGTCATGATGAACTAGGTGAATGAAGGAATAGAAAATATCAATCTCTCTCCCAAAGAAAACAACTGTGTGTTTATCATAAGTATGGAAAAAATATACTCTTTGATTATTGGTGTATGCAAGAAATTATAGAGAAGGCAAACAGTATATGCAAATTAAAAGCTTCAGAAAAGCCTCCCGTCTAAGATGAAAGGAAAACATATAATGGCAAAAATGATATATCAGCGTCTCGAAAACTGCAGTTTTTCAAGCATCATTTGGAATAAATATCCACAGAAGAAAGAGGTAAAGGAAAGGAAGCCACACAAATAGTAAACTAACATTGGAACATGTTTGGCTTCTCTAGAAGAGAAATAAGTGCAAACTGAAATAGCTGTAGGGTACCACTTCACATTAGTTAAGTGATCAAACAGGAAGAAAAAGGAGAAAGTCCAAAGCTGACACAGTTTGGGAAAGCGGTTTCATCCTCCACTTCAGTCCTGGAGGGCTTTCTGACGTTATTTTATGAGGCTTAGAAACGCCTGGTATTTCTTCTCAGGGAAATTTCTCCTGAGAAAAAGAGGAAAAGAACGTACATAGCATGATCATATTTATAGTATCATTGTATATTAAATTTTTAAATAGAATAATGAAAATCATAAACTTTTGGACAACTGAAGAATGAGGAAAATACATACAAGTTCATCTTCATATATTCCCTTCTGGTTATTTTCTCCTGAAATTGTGGTTTTGTTTTGTTTTTTTTACAGTTGAAATCACAGGCCACATATAATTTTGTTTATTTAGCAGTGTTAGTTAAAGTAGCAAAGAACTGAAAACAATTCAGTTGCCCAGGAGGAAGACAATTGTGTATTTTATGGAGTATGACCTTGTTGGAACATTATGCAGCCATCCCAAGTAATCACTGTGAAGTTTCTCTGGGTTAACAAACAAACAAACAAACAATGAAAACAGAAAACCATGCAGAAAAACAAACTAAAATTATACATATGCAGTCCTTCCAATTATGTTAAAACGTTCACATATGGTCCCAAATCAGATGAGGCTAGAGAGAAATACTAGTCAGTGTGTGTTTAGGTGAAAATACCAGAGATGTGATTTGGATCCAGAGAATCAGACCGAAGATCACAATAGCAGCTTTGCTTAAATTAAGGTCAGATTGCCTAGCATTCTCTCTTTTCAGAAATTCAGATTCTGCGTATGTCAGTTGCCCCCTGTGGGCGAGGCCTGGTGCAGTGTTACCCACCAGGGCTGCTGGAGTAGAAGATTGAGACTGTGAAGGACAAAATCAGAAGTGTCTGATGGGGGTGTAGGACTAAACAGGAAGGTTGTTCAAGGTAGGGACCCATCACTTCTGGTGGAGGGGAGCAGGAGGGAGGGCTCCAAGGGGCAATGTTTAATCAAGCTGACATTGAAGACCAAATAGTAGTAAAGATGCTGAGAAGGAGAGAAAGGGCATTTCAAGGGCACCGGCATGAAACACAAGCACGGAGGCTGGTATGTATGGGGTACATAAGAGGGAAGAGTGGATTTGAGCAGGAAATAGTCACATTTTAGTCTGTTACCTGAAGAAATTAATTTAGGAGGATTTTTATGTTTTTACAGCCCCCCCCAGCCCAGTCGATGGTTCAAGCGTTGGAGTTACTCTATGCTCTGGGAGGTACGCCTGTCTCTTATGTGTTCTCTGATCTGCTTACTAATAGATGGTATTGGTTAGGTTGTATTCACGTTAGGGCTCCTTAGTATCTTCAGGGATGGGACTGGTTCTCCCCATATATATAATCCTCTTAACAACCCTTAAGCTTCATGGAAATAAAAAGGTGGGACCATAATTAGATTAATAGTACATGAATCCCAGTTAGGACAATGAATTTATAAAGCATGTTGGTATATCAGGAGCTGTTAATAACCATCATTAGAGCTGCACTCCTGAAAGACATCTAGAAGATTCCCTACCAGTATTTCAGATGTTACCTCTCCAGGGCTATTTTTCAGTCCCTCCACCCCATCCTAAAACCTCTGGCTTAGTGTTCTCTCCCTTTTTCCCCTCATTTCATTCCTGGAGTTCCCTGTGGGTGGAGAATTGGGCCGATGACCAGCCTGTGGAATTCTTTGGGGCAAGGAAACACCATGCTTTGGAAGAACCTCTATTCTCTTGTTTAAAAACGTAGTGTTTAAGATAGAGAACACTGTAGCCTTGAATTCACCTGTTGAGGAGGTACCTAACTTCTGTGAATGTTGCCCCAAGGGAACATAATGTCTGGTTTGGTAGTAAGTTTCGGTGGAAGTTTTGTCCTTTGAGATTGTTTTGTTTGTTTTTAACATATTTGTTGAGGTAGAATTCACATACCATACAGTTTACCCATTTAAAGTGTACAGTTCAGTGGTTTTTAGTATATTGACAGGGTTGTGCGACCATCACCCCAACTTTAACAGTTTCATCACCTTAGAAAGAAACCCTGTACCCATGAATGCTCACTCCCCACTCCCTTTCCCCTCTTCCCAACCCCAGGCAATTTACTGATCTAATCTCTGTCTCTGTAGACTTGCCTATTCTGGAATCTTACATAAATAGAATCATATAATTTGTGGTCTTTTGTGAGTGGCTTCTTTCACTCAGCATGATGTTTTCAAGGTTCATCCGTGTTGTATGTAGCATGTGTTGACACTTCATTCCTCTTTATTGCTGAATAATGTAGCATTGCATGGATTGGATATGCCACATAATATCCTTAGCCAGTGAGCAGTTGATGGACATTTGGGTTGTTTCCCCTTTTTGGCTAATGTAAATAATGCTGCCGAAACATTTATGCGCTAGTTGTTGGTGGACATTCCTACCAGCAGGGTATGAGGGTTCCACTTGCTTCACATGATAGCAAGTGGCCAACACTTGTTATCTGTCTTCTGTGTTGTAGGCATCCCAGTAGGAATGAAGTGGTATCTTGTGGATTTGATTTGCATTTCTCTAATGACTAATGGTGGTAAGCACTTCTTCATGTGCTTATTGGCCACTCATAGATCTTCTCTGGAGAAATGTCTATTCAAATCCTTTGCCCATTTTTACTTGGGGTAGTCTTTTTATTATTGAGTTGGAGGAGTTCTTTATGTGTTCTGGGTATAAGTTTCTTAACAGATCTGTGACTTGTAAATACTTCCTCCATTCTGTGGTTGGCTTTTCTTCTTTCTTGATGGTATTTGTAGTGCAAAAGTTTTACATTTTCATGTAGTTCAATATATGTTTTTCTTCTTTTGTTGCTTGTGCTTTTGGTGTCTTACTTAAGAAACCATTGCCCAACCCATGGGCGTGGAGATCTCTCTTGGGTTTTCTTTAAAAAGTTTTTGTGGTTTTAGCTCTTACATGTAGTAAGGCTGTGCTCCTTTTTGAGTTAATTTTTTTTATATGGGGTCCATCTTCATTCATTACATTTGTGATACTTCTCCACAAAGGAATAGCCAATTACTGATTTAAAAGATCGTCAAGTGAATTAAAAGGCCTTTAGGTGGGTCTGCATCAAGTCAGGCCAGAGTGAGTGTGCTGGAATAGGTTCCCATCCCTGTTCTCAGGCATGTGATAGGACCCTGAAAGCAGGGTTTCCTGGGATAGTCTGTAATGAGTATGAGAGAACATTGACAACATAGAGGTTTTCATTTGGATTGATTTGCCTCTAATCCAACAGAATGAAAGTTGAAATACTTTCTATTTCTTCACTGTCCTAAGTAAGCTGGAGAAGGCAGGGGGAACCACCCAACTTAATTTACAGGTACAAGCTGAATTGTCACCTTTCAAGAGATGATTATATGGGAACAGAAGAGAAACTACCTTTCCTGTCTTACTCTGAGCTCTGCAGCATGTATTTTAATGGTACATCTTGGGAATAGTCTGAATGGCAATAAAACAATAGTCAGCGTCTCCAGAATCCCATACCTGAATATTGGCTAGTGGCACAGAGGCAAGGAGGGATATGGGGAATTGGAGTCCATCCAGTTTAGTAAACTGCCCAGGAGGCAGTTGGATGAACAGTTCTGGTATTGGCATCCAAGGGAGATCTGGGCAGACGTTTAGATTTGTAGTCGCTGGCCTTGTAATTGCTCTCATAGTGTGGGAGTGGAGGGCATGGGATGCCCTTCTGGGACATCTGCACTTGCACTTGGAAGGAGCAGTCTCTGGGGTGGGTGAGGAGAGTGGGGAGCTAGAGGAGGCTGCAGGGCTGTTTCCTTGGAGTGAAGTCCTTGAATAGAAGCTATTAGAAGTATCAGTTTTTCAAAATTGGCTATTCAGGAGCTCAGAGGGGGTCTTTTCTTCTTTTAATGTAACAGCGCTCTGATGTAAGATTGAGTTTGGTAGCATGATTCATCTTTTGGACACCTTTTCCTAGTGTACATCATCGTTTATCCTCCTGATAACCGTACATCTTCCAACACAATGGTACAGACCTTCTGATTTCTGTTGTTCTTGTTCTTACGGCAGGTCTGGACAAAGACTGTCGCCTAACTGAACCGCTTGGCATGAGAATCGCAGAGTTTCCTTTGAATCCCATGTTTGCAAAAATGCTGCTTGAATCAGGTAGGTAGAGACCAATAGTTCTCATTGATTCTGTCAAGGGATTAGTTCTTCGAATTTTGTGCACCCGGGGGAAGGGCATGATACATTCCGAGTAGTGAAGGAGCTTTCCTCTAACGCTGTCTGATTTGGGGCATGTTGTTAACTGGGGATTCTGTGTCAGTCACCATTAATTAATTCAGTAAACGCTTTTGTTTTCCTGGGGGGCCTAGAACGGACGCCTGTTTTTTTTTTTTTTTTTAAACAGAGAAGTTTTTTTTTTAAATTATGGTAAAAAATACATAAAATGTACCATTTTAACCATTTTTAAGTGTACAGTTCTGAGGCATTAAGTACACTCACATTGTCAATCAGCCCTTATCACCATCCATTTCCAGAACTTTTTCATCTTTTCAAACTGAAACTCTGTCTCCATTAAACACCAACTCCCCATTCCCTCCTCCCCCCAGCCCTGCAGCCACCCTCCTACTCTGTCTTCATGAATTTGAGGATCCTGGGAACCTCCCTTCAGCGGAATCCTACAATATTTGCCCTTTTGTGACAGATTTATTTCACTCGACTTGCTGTCTTCTAAGGTTCATTTGTGTCGTAGCCCATGTCAGAATGCCCCTCTTTAAGGCTGACTAGTATTTCACTGTGTGTATGTACCGTTCATCTGTCGATGGACACTTGCGTTGCTTCCACCTTCCGGCTATCCTGAGTAGGGCTGCTGTGAGCATTGGCATCCAAGCATTTGTTGGAGTCCCTGCTTTCACTTCTTTTGGGTATATACTTCCAGTGGAATTGCTGGATCATCCAATAATTCTATGTTTAATTTTTTGAGGCCTCACCATACTATTTTCCACAGAGGTTACACCCCTTTGTACTCCCACTGCCAGCATACAAGGGGCCCAACTTCCCTGACGCCTTCAGATGTTTGTGAGAAAAGGAGTAAGGGGCGAAAGTTCGTAAGTTAGAGGTCAGGTCAGAATCATGACCCCTACCAGGAAAGGAAGTTAGAATTTTTTCTTGCTTTTGGCTAACTTTTAGATTCACTAGCAATTTACAGAGCTGTATTTCAGACTAAGCGTGGTGAGAGGTAGCTTTAGTTTTGAAACATCCAGATGACCTCAGGCTTACATTGAGAAACGGGACTCTTTTTAAGTTTCAGGTGGGGGAGCGTGTCAGCCATGAGGCAGGAAGCTGTGGGGAGGGCTACAGATGGGCAATTCACTGTCACCATCCAGTTCCCTGGTGCGCCGACGGCTGCAGACCCTGTTCCCAGGCGTGAGCAGCTGCTGCTCACGGAGTGCTGCCCTGGTCTAAGCATGCCTTAGGCTCGCTGGGTCAGGTGAGCCCTGTCAGGAGTGAGGTCGCCCCAGAGAAGGGTTCAGGACGAGAGAGACCGCAGAAGGGACACAACCCACATAATCCCTGCCCCTCCTTTCCGTCTTGGATTTTGGCCAGGATCCTAGCTGTTCCGATGGGAGTAGGGAACAGGTGTGGAGTGAACCTGCCCTTAGGGACACGGCTCCTCTGGCCCCACCGTGGTGCACAGCGAGAGTCCTTGATGTCCCAGCTGCCTAGTATAGCAGCCTCTTTCTCAGAGTCTTCCTGGGCCTCCGTTCATCTGGGCCACTTATGGGACATTACATTCAGCAGGGTAAAGGGTTGATATGCTACAACTAAACAATCAAACTGTATATAAATATATGACTTTAGGTTTGTAGTACGGTGTAAGAAAATAACCAAATGTCTTTCACTTCTCATTGACAGTGCATATTTGAAATCAAACATGCTTTTTGTTTTATAGGAAATTTTGGCTGTTCTCAGGAAATTCTAAGCATTGCAGCTATGATGCAAATCCAGAATATCTTTGTGGTCCCCTCAAACCAGAAGTCTCAGGCAGTAAGTCTAGCCTTTTCCCCAAGCCATTCATACCGGTCTCTTTCACTGTGGGCTCCCCTTGTTGAAACTCTCCGGGGACCACTGGCTGTGCAGATGGGATCCACTTGCGTTCTGAGTGTTTGCCGTGTGCCTGACACTGTGCCAGACGTTTTAGGTGCATCGTATTCCCTAGTGTCTTCCCCATAACCCTGGGAGGTAAACACTCTTCTCATCATTTTTAGAGGTGGAGGCACCGGAAGGTCACGTAACTCGTTTGTGATTGCACAGCCGTGGGGCAGTTGCCTTTCACAGTCTGGAGCCCCCGGTCTGAACTGTGACCTGCTGACCTCCCCATAAGGGAAACTGGCCTGCAGGCTTCTCCGGCAGCGACCTGGTGGCACACTAGTGACGTAAGGAGTCGTGCCTGGGCACAGCAGGCTGATTTTGGTGGTGCTGGAGGGGTACTCCAAGCCAAGGAGATGGCAGGGCTCTGCCCAAGTCCCGGCACCAGACACACCTGAAGGAGCGAGCGCCGGGGAGACTGGAGAAGTCAGGCTACGCAGAGCACCCCGGAGGTGAGGCGCCCTGACAGGCAGGCCAGGGTGAGATCGGGGCCGGTTCCTGTGGGAAGAGTGAGATGTGGCAGCCTTGCACACGCAGGAGCTGAACTTGGACTTTCTTACAGGTGCTTGTCTTTTTCCTGACAGTCGTAACATGATAGATTATACCTTCCTGCCTCCATGCTTGGTGGTTAAATCCATTTTCTCCCTTGTTTTTTTGTTTGCTTTTCTCTTAACCCTTCTGACAATCCTCCCTCAGAGCAGACAGACTCCTTTGTAAGATGAGGAACCTGAGGCCCTTACCACTGTCTGGAATTGTAGCATTTCCCCGCCGCCCCGGCCCAGTCTCCTCTGCTGTGTTCTCTAGTCCGTCCTCCCACCTGCTGTACCATATATTTGTGTGGTTTGCTTGTTTGGTTTTGGCTTCCACCGCTGTTGGATTCACTGCGACCTCCCAAGTGCTTAGAACGGCGCCTGGCCTCTGGTAGTGCTCAGTAAATACCTCTTAACGAAGGAACGGATGGAAGGCAGGAAGGTGGCTAGGTAGGTTGGTTAAGTGTGTGGTATTTGATGCAAGGAGAAAATTCTAGAGATACTAAGTATATTTGTGTGCTTATGTATGTATCGTCTGGGCTGTTTCTTGAACTCATGAGAGCAGGGTGGTGTTGCCCAGGATCTTACAGAAAAGAAAATTGAGGGATGTCTGAAAGGATTGTGCGGCTGGCGGTAGCCCCCGAATACAGAATGTCTACCACACGCCAGACAGCTGGCCCCCTGCCCTCCCGGAACTTATATTCTCCTAGGGCTGCGGGGGGCGAGGAGGGGTTCTTCTGAAAGAGATGGTATTGACTGGATAGAGGAGGACAGAGACAAGAACACTAACATTTCTCTTAATACTTCTGGCAGGTGTCATAGTGAATCATCTTAATTCCGCAGCAGTCTTGATAGGTTTAATAATCCCAGTTTTACAGTTAAGGAAGTTGAGGCCGAGCATGGGTACGTTACCAATCTGAGGTTTTCAGGAGATGGCGGAGCCAGAGCTGGTGCAGACCAGGTCTTTCTGACTCTGCAGGCCACGAGCTATTCAGCATGTAATGTTACCTCCCTGTACCAGAGGCTCATAGGAGTTGATTTCTAAATGTTGCTTTATTCTTTCCAGATTCGAGTGCACCGAAAGTTTGCTGTGGAGGAGGGTGATCATCTCACTATGCTCAATGTGTACGAAGCATTTATCAAAGTAAGTACAGCTACCACTCGAAAGGCCCCTCCACCCCACTTAAGGTGATCTAGGAGTGAGGATTCCAGAAGGTCAAGTTTATAAAGGAGTGGCCGAGAGACCTCGGTATTTTTCTGTTAGATTATTGCCAGTACTTCTAATCCACGTGTGGGGTCCCTGCCTGGATTTGTGGTGCCATTTTGCCTGGAAGAACACAGAAGTCGCCTCTGGTTGCCCCCGATGGCTAGCAGCATGCCGATGGCTAGCAGCAGATTGGCGGCTCGGCCTCCCCGCTCTCCCCACTGTCTCACACCCACTGGTGCTGTTGGACGGCACTAGCAGACATCTGAATAGCAAGCCCGGTTTTATTTTCTGCCAAATAAGTGAGGCCAAGAGTGTGTGGTGTTGAGTTCAATCTTCAAAGCAGTCTCTGTGAGTCAGCGGGGACCGGCTGTGAGGAACGTGTGGTGAGGACCTATGTCTGTTCACACGCCCTACCCGTATTTAGCCATAGGCAGTGTTAATTTTTATTGTGTTTTTCTGTAATATTCTTAACGTTTTATAAAACTTAGCAAATAATACAGCTTAAGAGTCTCACCAAAAATTGCTAAGAAGAGAGCTCTAAAGATGATGAAAACCATAAGAAACCTCTTATGTAAAGGAAAGGGTGGGAGGGGGAAATTAGATATTTCAGACTTCCAGTATCTTGTATTTGTTTCTTAAATATTTTCTTAGAAGAGGAGAAATACTAAATTTTTGTTTCACCAGTGATCTAAGGGAGATTATTCATTTAATGAACAGTCTTCAGAAAAGCCTGATCGCTTACTGAGATCATGAATTATGAGTTACGGGAGTTAAAATTCATTTGTACGAGCACAGTGTGCCGTCTGCACTCTGAAGCTCGCTCTGCTGGTGGAAAGTGGGTGCATGTCTATATCACATTAGTGTATTTTCCTTGGAAAATCTCCTGTGGATGATATTTTCTTCTTTAAAATGCTTTCCTTTCTGGCTTAGAGTAGAATTTCAGAGTACATCCCCACAGCAGTAATTTAATCTAAGACATAATGATCCTACTTAAGAATATAGAATAAGCACTGTTGATAGAAAAACCATATGTTGGGGATAAATAATAGTAATTTGCAAATTATTTCTAAATTGGCAGGTATCATTGCTCACCTGTAGTCTCCTAGAATGATGAACTCAGAGTTGCTCAAAGTTAATTTACAAAGACCCACAGGGAAGTGGGTCTTTCTGATAATTCGCACCACTTGGGTGGGTATTTCAGATTGAAAACAACTCTGCTTGTCAGTAAGTTCTCCTTTGCCCTTTGGCACAGGAAGCGAGAAGGAAGAGCAGTCAGACGGTACGCATGGTGGTCAGTATCTGTTTAGGGAGATGGGGCAGAATGGGGACCATTAGGGTGGGACGATCTTGTCCCACCGAGTAAGCAAAAGGGGGAAGAGGAAACAGGGCACCTTGCAGTGTAGCCGTGAACTTGTCTGCGTTTCTCTCACTCCCCCTCTGTCTGGGTTCCCCTGTAGCACAATAAAAACTCTCAGTGGTGTCAGGAACATTTCCTGAATTACAAGGGTCTTGTCAGAGCGGCGACAGTGCGAGAGCAGTTGAAGAAGCTTCTTGTCAAGTTTCAAGTGCCCAAGAAATCTAGCGAAGGTAAGAGCAAACCTCCATACCCGGCGACGCCCCATTCTGTGCTGTTCACTTGTATTCCCGGACGGTCCGTGCTAGGCTGGTGCAAGGCAGCACGGTGTGCTCTGTACCTTCCCCAGGCTCACACGGAATTGCCTGTGTCGGTGAAAAGCTGAGCATGTGAAAGTAGCATGTTTTTTCCAGGGAGGTCTGTTTGTATTTCTGAGGGCTATTCTTTTTTTTTTTTTTTATTCTTATGTTAATCCCCATAAATTACATAATTAGTTTTAGATGTAGTGTTCAATGATTCATTGTTTGTGCATAACACCCAGTGCTCCATGCAGAATGTGCCCTCCTCAATACCCACCACCAGGCTAACCCATCCTCCCACCCCCCTCCCCTCTAGAACCCTCAGTTTGTTTTTCAGAGTCCATCGTCTCTCATGGTTCATCTACCCCTCCGATTTCCCGCCCTTCATTCTTCCCCTCCCGCTACCTTCTTCTTCTTTTTTTTTCTTAACATATATTGCATTATTTGTTTCAGAGGTACAGAGCTGAGATTCAACAGTCTTGCACAATTCACAGCGCTTACCAGAGCACATACCCTCCCCAGTGTCTATCACCCAGTCACCCCATCCCTCCCACCCCACCCCCCACTCGCGCAACCCTCAGTTTGTTTCCTGCAATTAAGAATTCCTCATATCAGTGAGATCATATGATACATGTCTTTCTCTGTTTGACTTATTTCACTCAACATAATACCCTCCAGTTCCTCCATGTCGTTGCAAATGGCAAGATCTCTGAGGGCTATTCTTAATGGAAAAAAAAATTGACAAGCCCTGACAAGACTTCAGGATCATTAGCATTCACATCATTGCATGTTATGTAGTTAATTTCCCCATGTAGGCTTTGCAAGAAAAGTTGCTTTGAAGTGGACGATATTTAGGGCTATTCCAAATAAATTACATTTTATTTTCAAATGCAGACATTACTCACGAAGTCTGTGTGTTGAGCCTCGGCAGTCCCTAGGGTAAGACAGGAGTGCTGCGTAAGACATGGTCTCTGGCTTCTGGCTGTGACCGTGACTACCACTGATTGAGGACATGGTTATGCAATGGCAGGTGTGGTGTCACAGGTGACACTCTGTGAGGTGTGGGTTATACTGTCCTTATTTTACAAATGAGTCTCAAAGTCCTAGGGAGAAATTCAGTTGAGTTCAGGACAACACAGCTGGTTCAGCTGAGCCGGATCTGTGAGGCTTATAACCAGTGCTCTTGAAGAGGTGACCCATCTGCTCATGCACCGGCCATTGCCCAGTGAGTGCCAGGCACGCGCCAGGCGCCCTGACACCCTCGGCACCGCGAGTACCTGCTAGCATTCCGTAAGTGCCGAGAGCAGGCCAGCGGTACGCCGAGCGTTCCTACGTGTGAGTTCATTTAATGCTCACACCGATGCAGTGAATATATGCCGCTCATATCCCTATCTATAGATGAGACCAATGGGCGAAGAGGTAAAGAGAAACTTGCTGAAGGTTACACAGTGTGTGGTGGAATCAGAACTTGAACTCAGGCAGTTTCATTCCTGCCATTTCAGCCTTATTTTTGCTTCTATCCTACTAGAAAGTGATTACAAAATGGCCAAGACATGGTTCTCTTAGGAAATAGTGCAGTGAAGGGAGAGATGGATGCAGGTAGACAGAGTGCTACAGTGTGAGGTCTTCAGCTCTCTTCGAAGTTAGAGGAGTAGACCCGTCAGTGCTTTAGGCAAACGGGTGGTGGATGTAATAGGAATGCAAGGAGGAGGGAAGCCAGTGGGGCTGGGCCTGGGAGGTTGTAGAGCAGGCCTCGAGTGGTGGCCAGGTCCAGTCCAGCAGCCTGGTTGCACTAGCAAGCACAGGGCAGGGAGGCTGTGGAGACAGGTGCTTGGGTGAGGGGCATATCAGATGCTCAGAATATTGATGAATGAAGAAGCTCACGGGAGAGGGGAGAGTCGAAACCGGGGTGATTGGGTAAAGTTGGTGTCATTGATAGAAACGGGGAAGCTTCCAAAGGCAGCTGACTGGGGAGAAGCTCATCTAGTGCTTGTCATCTAACAGACAGATGACAGCCTTACTTCTCTATCTGTGTTTCTTATCCTGTTTTTCATTATCAACCTCTCACTCAGGAGAAAAGTGACATTAAATTTAAATTCTTCCTAACGAGAGAAATTAAACATGAAGGAAAATACGGTTTTGTAAAGTAGGGTTGAGCCTTGGTGGGCCACAGCCATGGCAGTATCTAAGATATCCCCCCTTTCCTGCTCCCAAGAGCCAGTTTTCATCCCTTTGGAAGCGATATCCCCCTAATAAGAACGTATGTTCTCCAGAGAAGTTTCTTTTGGGTAGCAGCTGGAGAGAAGAGACTGAATCTTAGATCAGGTTGTGGTTAGAAATGTAGATTTGAGATTTATCAGTTCTGTGCTGAGAAACAATAGAGAAAATTATGGAAACACAATAAATTATGTACAGATTTAAAATTTCAAGATGTTAAAGAAAAAGCAAATAGTAAAAATATTTTTAGCAGACAAGAGATGAAAAATTAAAAACCTTATCATAGAATGAGTTCATTTAACACGCTTAAAAAAAAAAAGAGTTTCCAAGTTGATATATGGGCAGAAGAACAGAAAACTCAGAAAAGAAGAAACACAGATAGTAATTGATAAATGTACAGTAATAGAAGGGGTACCTTGTAGCCAAATCATTGCCAGTAAGAATGTGGTGACGCTGACGTTGTTATTTTATGCACCACTAAGAAAAAAAGTACTGCCAGTTATAATTACAAAATGCTGTCCTGATTTCAGTGAGTTAAAGGGGGAAAAAAGAGTGAGTCTTAGAATTGATGAAATGCAGTATGTTAAGCCACACACATGACATTTTCCTTTGCGTGATCATTTAGAATGTATCCTGTGAAAATCATCTAATAAATGGTTGGGCTCTATCCTTGGAAGATGTTTACTGTAGCAATACAGACATCAATTAAAATGGGGCATTTGAAAAATGGCGAAGAATTACGTGCTGTAGCTTATAACCACAGAAATAATGTGTCTTACGGAAGAAACCTAAGATTTTCTCCTAAAAAGGAGTTCTTGGGGTCACTGGCCAGCCCGTGGTGTGCTCTCTCGGGTTCTGGTGCCCGGCCTTTCCCCTGTCACCCTGTGGCCTGGTGGGGTTGGGGCATCCTGAGTTAAAGGAACAGTCCAGCTTCCTTCAACAGCCATAGATGGTGCCAGGGCAGGCATCCAGCACCGGGAGGCACGGGGCTGGGGCTGGTTCAGGAGAGGTTTGTGAGGTGGCTTGAAGCAGCCTGGGCTGGGGCCTCACTGCACAAGCTTGAGCACGCAGAGCATAGGGCAGGCAAGGGGCTTACCCGTCACTCTGTTTGCTGCCTTGTGCAGGTGATCCGGATCCAGTCCTGAGGTGCATTGTTTCAGGATTCTTCGCAAATGCAGCAAGGTTTCATTCTACTGGAGCTTATAGGTAACATGATACTTTGTGAAGGCATTTGTTAAAGGAGAAATCTTAAAAATGATCCAAACCCCATAGAAAGCTGATGTGCCAGGAAAGTACAGCAATTAAGTTAAATAGGTTTTCTTTATCTCCTTCCAAAGATGAGTTGAGGTTAACTACATAGCTTTCAGCATAATATCTTAACTTGATGGAAATGATTCTCAAATATTCAGCTCATCCGTATGTTGTGGAAGGATGATAATTACAAGCCTGGAGGCTGGAAATATTTCCATTCTAATAACAGAATAATAGAACTGGAAAGGACCATTAGAGATGATCTTTCTTGGAGAAACTACCCCGGCAGTTCATTTTGTTTCTTGAGACCTGTGGGAAGTTGTGGCCATAGTTGCCATCTTTGTATGTTGGCAAGTGTTTCTTCATGTGCTGGATGTGCCTCCTGCCACAGACCACAGCCCATTTCTTCCATTTCCACTTTCTGGGGAGAAAATCACTGGTCACCCGTGCCCTCCTATTAACCTCAGGGCCTCGGCTCATTCTGGTCCAGAGCGTCACCCGTGCCTGTTTAAAAGTGCATCTGTTCTTTCATACGGAAGTCATCCCCAAGGCTTCCTCCCCAGCTTTTCTTTGCATTTCCTTCATGTATTATTTTGTCATTAGCCTTTTCCTCTCAAAGAATACTACATTCCTGTTTTCTGAGGGGAAGTCGGCTTATGTCAGTCCCTTTGAAGCAAAAGTTCAGTGTCGATCAGCTCAGGCCACCTGGTAGCACAGCCAGGACCCTGGGGTGCTGATTTTATCACAGAGCTGGAGATGGGCTCACTCATGGTGCTTGAAGCGATTCCCTGACACACAGGTCCCTGGCACCCACAGAAACACCCCATAATTAGGGTTTGGGCAGCAGCATCCTAATCTGTTGATGTTCTCTTGTGATCTGATCTTACCAATAGTTGTGTGCTCGGTAATTATTTTTTGAATTAAATTGAATCTAATCTGAGTTGAAATTTGAAATATTATGTGAGAGACATGGATAGTCTTAATACTGAGCTTTCTTTTCCCCCTATTATTATGTCCTCCATAGCCTTTATCTTTACTATTTAATTTTAAATAGAAACATTTTTATTTTTCTATTCAATAGAAAAGTTTATACAGGTCACCATATGTGTTATTTCTGTCCCTAAGGAAATTTTTTTGAAAGAGAACATATGGAAGATAAACATGAAAATGGGCAGAGCAGTATATTTTCCATGTTTTTTCCTGAATAGCCACATGCTGTTTTTTGTATGATTTGTTCTTGACTTCTGGGGTGGCAGTGGGCGAGGGGTCAACCAGGGCACTAGAGAAGATGGAGAGAATAGTTTGTTGGAGTGAAGTACCATCTGCATGCATTTTTTGATAATATGAAACACATCTGTGGAAGAGTCCCGCTCTAAGTATTTCAGGCTGACTTCAGATAAAATTCTTCTGTTTGCAAGGACTATCCGTGACGATCATGAATTACATATCCACCCTGCCTCGGTCCTCTATGCAGAGAAGCCGCCTCGCTGGTAAGCCACCGCCTGCTTCTGAGCCTTGTAACTGCTCAGAAGGCAAGGCCTGGTTCTTGTTCATCCCCGGGTCCCCAGGCCTGGCACAGCGCCTGGCATACACGTTTGTTGACTTTGTTATGCTGAGTCATCTACAATTTCTGCTCTTATCAAAGATTTCCTTACACAAATGGGGATATTCCTCTCCTCACTCATGTACTCGGCAAACTTTCATCCTCACCCACAGACTAGGTCCTAAACCCTACACTGGGCACAGCGATGTGGAGGTGGATTGGGGTTCTGGGCCACAGTCCTGATGGAGACACACATTCAGACAGATTCCAGCAGCTCAGGAGAAGGACGTGGTGTGGGGGGTGTAAAGCACTGAGCTTGGTACCTCACGTGCCAGGGAGAGTCAGAGCTGGCTTCGTGGAGGTGATGACATTTGCTCTGGGGCCTGCAGACAGGAGTTTTCAGGCAGAAAAGGATGTGGAGGGAATACACACTGAGGCAGGAGCAGAAGTGAAGGCACGGAAGGTGAGGGAAGCTCCTGTCTGGGAAGTGGGGAGTCCCTGGTGCAGTGGGCCCAGGCTACCCCAAGGTGGTCTGTGAGATGGGGCAAGTCTGGGGCCGTGCCTGTGAAGAGACGCACACACAAGTTAGGAGGCATTTAGACCTTTTAATAACACTTCATTCAGTTAAATTTTTGTCTGCTGCCCAATTTGGTAATAAATTGGAGCCTGTCTTTTGTATGTCTTCTTGAAATCTCATTTTTCTAGTAATTCATTTGTATTGTGTTTTAGAAAAATATTGCTCTCACAGTGGATTAGAAAATTTAAAAACAACAACTGGTTCTTCCCCACAGATCGGTGGAGAAAGCGGAGGAGAGAGTGTGGGCCTGGGGAGGGGAGATAATGGTAGAAGAGAGAGAGGGCAGAAAGGTCCACTGTGAGGTCCTTGGCGTCCTGGAGTAGTGGTTTCCAAAGTGTGGTCTGCAGGCAGGCATCAGCATCACCTGGAAGCCCGTTAGAAATGCAGATGTCCAGGCCACGCCCAACCCTTCTGAATCAGAAACTGGGAGTGGGGTCCTGTTTTAACAAGCCCAGAACCAGGTGGTTCTGATGGGTGGTAAAGCTTGAAACCCTTTCCAAGACCTGTGCAGATCCAGAAGCTGCTTAGCTGGAGCCAGACTTGGTCAGGCAGTTTTGGGTTTAGAAATGTTGCCTGATGTCCATCACCATGCAGGGTGAGTGGAAGAGGGAAGCAAACCTCAGTTCTAGATCCTTTCCCAGCAGTTTGCCAACTTTGGGTTGACTAATTTGGGAGTTGCTTAATTTGGGAGACTTTTTTTTCCTGCTTCGTTCCCAAGGAGCCCTGAAGGGCAAAGAGAGCATGGCTGAATAGAGCCAGTCCTGAAGCAGCCCCATCACCTTAGGGTGGTGAGGGAGCACCCTTCCCCTCCGGCCTCTGCAGAGGGCCCCCCCCCTCACTGGGTCCGAACTTCAGCAGCTGATCGTTTGCCAGCTTCCAGGAGCGGATAGTGGCAGCGTGGCGGGTGTTTATGGTTGTTAGGGAAGCCCTGCGTCAGCACTTCACATAGCTCAGAAACTGATGTCTATCTAATACGTGCACTTGGGAATCTGGGGATTTGAAATTATCTGCTTGGCTCTTTGGTGTCTTTTACCTCAGCCTCAGGCAAGGCCCCCGCCCCTCCTTTTTTTCCGTGAGTAGTGGTATAATTTATGTACAGTGAGAGTATTGACAACTGTGTACACCCATGTAACCCACACTCCAAATAAGATGTAGAGTATTTCAATCTCTCTAAAAAGTTCCCTTGTGTCTCTTTACAGTTAATTTCCATCCCTTTTCAGAATCCGGCAAGCCTTCGCTTCTCTTTCTCCATTTTCTAATAAAGTCAGTGCTCTGTTGAGAGTTCTGTAAATGCAGACTGAGAATCCAGAAGGGTCCTGCACTGAGAGTGAGATGTTCTGGAAGTCATGTCTGAGCTGTCCCATAAAGTGGACACACTATTACCCACCAGTCAGGTCATGAGGCAGAAGTGCATTTGTTTAGTGTAGCCCCCGGCACACACAGTAGGTCCCTGGGAAAGGGGGACACTCGCCAGCCCTGCTTGCTGTGGTTCTGGGTTCTCACCATAAGGTTTAGGAAACTCCTGTTTTCTCCTGGTTTCAGGGTTATCTACAACGAAGTTATACAGACCTCCAAATATTACATGAGAGACGTGACGGCCATCGAATCCGCGTGGCTGTTGGAGCTGGCTCCACACTTCTATCAACAAGGAACGGTAGGGGTGAATAGAGACTATCCCTCAAAACACCTAGTAGCTGCCTCTTCATATTTCTAAGTGCACATCGATTCTCCAGTTTCATGGCCTAAATTTGTTCCCCCCAGTAGTGCATGGGGTGGAAAGGCCACTCCCCTATCTCTTCCCCACTCTGGGTGAAAGCACTATACTATTTGATCATAATGAAGTGCATTTGGAAATGCATCCCTCCAGCTTATAAGACAAAAAAGAGAATGTGTCTTCGGCTCTTCCTCTCCCCCTCTGCTTTTCTTTCTTCAAAAGAAATTCTATCACACTTTGGGCCATGTTCACAAGGAGTGGCACAAATATTCTCTGATGAAGATTGACTCACAAAGAACATAAACTGGTGTGCAAGCTTACACCCAAGGTGGTTTACCCAGCGGTGGGTGCTACCGAGCATTGGTATTCCTGTGTATACTCTTCTTCCCCGGCAGGCCCTCATGTGGGACCAGCAAGGTAGTGAGCCTTGCAGAGGAGATGCATAGTTTTGGTTGTTTTATTTTCACAAAAAAAATGGTCTATTCATTGGGATGGGTGGGGAAGGCCATACATTCTTCTAACAAGATCTTTAATTGAGTGGTGGTTATATTTGGAAGGCTGGCATGAAAACAGGTAAATCAGGGTTCACAAACTTCCATTGACTCATTCTGTTTGGTCTGCATCATGTTTTTAATTAGAGTGTTTAGTGTACTCTTAATGCAATTACTGATACGGTTTGATTGAAGTCTGCCACGATGCTGGTTGTATTCTGTAGTCTGAATTAGTTCTTTTTCTTTTTTTACTGCCTATGCTCTGTGTTGCCCAATGCCTGAAAACAGTTGCCTTAGATACTTCGTTCAGTTTTACCACTGTTTACCCCAGAAAGGAAAGTCCAAACCTCTTACTTCATCAGGGCTGTAACCAGACTGCCGTGTTTTCAACCCAAAACTTGGATTGATGGGTGCATTTAAAAATTGGGAGATTTCACAGTAAATATGGATTTCAGGTTTCTCTTAAAAGAAATGGTATGTCTGCCAGCACTGGGGCTGGCAGGGCTGCCTGGGTGGCTCAGTCCTTTAAGCGTCTGCCTTCAGCTCAGATCCTGATCTCAGTCCCGCATTGGGCTCCCTGCTCAGTGGGGAGTCTGCTTGTCCCTCTGCCCCTCCCCCTGCTCCTGCTCTCTCTTTCTCTCTCTCAGATAAATAAATAAATAAAACATTTTTTTTTTAAAAGAAAGAAAGAAAGTCTGCTGGCACTGGGCCCGAGTTACTGCTTGGTGGCAATCAGCAGGGGCCAAGGAACGGCTGCTCGCTGGGAATGACGCTGTCCAGGTGCCATGGTCCTGTTTCACTTGTTAGCCTCACTTGCTTGACTCCTGGAAACATTTGAGTTGTGACCCTGTAAATGGAAGGCTCTTCTCCTCCCTCGAATGTCAGGGGAAATTGTCCTTTTAAAACCTTCTTAAAGTATTTAAATTGTATCCAGTTGGATGGAAACTGTTTGAAGCCTGTATAGTTCTTCACACATCCTCATACAGATGCTGCAGCTAGAAACCAGGTCAGCTGCAGGCACCAGGCACCGAGACGCATTCAGAGTATTGTCTGTGCTGTGTTGGGCTGACAAGAACACACCTCAAGTGAGAGAGTGTCTTTCCCCCAGAACCTCTCAGGCGGGAAGCAGCAGACTTCAGAAGTCCAGGAGGAGTGAGGAGAACTGGAAGCTGAGAAGCGCTGGTGGTTCAAGTCGGAGGATGCGAGCATTCGAGGGGGGTGAACCTGAAGTTGTCTTGCATCCATTTAGACTCTCGGAGAACGGGATTAACCTAGAAGCTGAGTCATTTTCCCTTCTCATCTCAAAACCACAGTTCAGGCCCACCAAGTTAGAGCAAATAGCCCCGGAAGTTGGAAGGAAGTGACAACCCCCGATGTCTGCGTTGGCCTCTTCTCTCCAGATGCCTGTTGTCCCACTCACTGGTCCATTCCCATCACTGCCTATGAGCCGCGTATTTTTAGAGATGCCTGGATCTTACAAGTCGTCTGGTGCCACAGCTTCATCGTACGGGCAAGGGCCCCGAAACCCCCCAAGAACCTTGGCCCCTTTTTACCTAAGCAGTCCATAGGTACTTGCACTGTTAACTTGTCAGAATGAATGGATTTCCCCAAGAGCCCTGCAAGTCCCCACTGGCCGCCCATGTATGGTAGACACTCCTTTGTCGAACACGTGGCCTCTCCCCGCCCACAGAGGGTCCCTGGCTCTGTTCCTGGCACCTTTCGTGACTTTCCGTTGCTGTTGTTTTCAGAGTGTTACTCTCGTCCTGTATGAAGGCCTGAAATGGTCCAGAGTTGGCTGTGTTTATACTCCGCATTCTTCTCAGAAATGAACACCAAAAATGGTCCTGTGCACAGGCCCGATGACATCAGCCCCGTGCCCAAGCAGGGCTGAGAGTGTCTAACAGTAGCTGGAGGGGTCCTCTCGGGTAAAGTGCAGGGAGGAGAGAAACGACCGAAATGCAGCAAGACCCCCAGCTGGAGGGAACAGGGTGGCCTGCTCAGAGTCACCTGCCAGTCCTTAATTTTGTGTCCTGATTCTCAGAGGTGTCCTTGGGATCTAGGAAAAACCCTCTTAACCAGGGCCTTTGCAAGAATCCATACTGGTCCTTTCTCTGGCACACACGGTTAGAAAGGGACTTCCTACCTGTGTCACATTCACTCTGTCAGTGGGTACAGGTACTAGACGGTGTGTTATGTCTCCTGCACCCCGCATTCTTTCAGGGCCTGTGGTTCCCCATCAGCAGTGGCCTTGCTATCTCAGCCCACGTGGGTGTGTGGGTGTTGGTTGGGCACTGAGCGTGTTGGGGACCAGCAGTCAGGTTGGGAGTTCCTCATGTGAGGATCCCACTGCATGTTAGCGTATCTCTCGGTTGTTTGCTTAGGATTATTGAGGGGGTACTAGGGATACCTCATTCGGTGAACAGAGGTCCTTTATTAAAAGCTTCTGTTTACATACTCTGCCTTAAACGTGTGCTTTAGGATTTCCAGCACTTCTGGCTTTATCTTTGAACACAAAGTATAATTGTATCACTAAATCCTATTATCTGCTGCCCGTGATTATGTTATGCATCCTGTGTTCTTTATACTGGTAGGGAGCGATGTTTCTGAAAGGAAAGGGTGGTGCTAGGAGGTGTTCTTTCCCTGTTTGTCTTTATTCATGTGCATTTGCCAGGGGGTCCGTGGGGGCCAGGGCCCTGGGCACATGTATCTGCACGTGGAGGTGCTTGGTGAAATGATGGATCTCCTTGTTCCTGTGGGGAGGGTACCTTTCTTTGACCATTTATAAGAAATTCATAGAAACGTGAGGTGACTTCCAGCCCGAGCCCAGTCCCCTGAGCACAGGGGTTTGGCTGTGGTGCTGTCCTGGGGGCTGGGGCAGAGGGGGAGCGTGTCCCATTGACACCTTCTCGCAGAGCCCTGGGTGACCAGGGTCGGCCATGGTGGGCTGGGCCTTGGGCTGCTGGGCCTTACCGAAGGTCTATCACCTTTGTTGGTTCCTTGGGCTTTTCTTCCCCTCCACACTGCTTTCTGAGGGGCACGGCATCTGCCGAGAATGTGCGAACCAGAGGGCAGTGCTGGCGTGGTCTTTGATGTGGGGGTCCGGTTGAAGTCCAGTCTCTCTGTCTGAGCAACCCCTAACGCTGATGGTTTCTCTTCTCTTGCAGCACCTGTCCCTCAAAGCCAAAAGGGCCAAGGTCCAGGACCAGTGAGCGGAGCTCAGCTGCCGCCGCAGGGGACTTGGAGCCCTCTCCTCCACACTGGGGTCCCCCGGCCCTGGGCGGCGAGCTGGCCTCGGCTCACGTGGAGTCTTCCACTGCTCTGAAGTGGGCCGCAGCCCGTTTGTTAGCCCCTTCCTTCCCGCTCCCCTCGGCATCTGCGTTCCTTGCTGGGATCCCGGGGGCGTTCGTGCATGAGCGGGCACCCCGCTGCGCTGCACCCAGGCACAGTGGGAGTGGGCAGGGCCGTGCTCTCTGCTCATGCAGTGCCCCCACCGACCCAGCATGCCACTTCTGACCGGCGCCCGGTTCTGGCCCAGCTTCGTCCTGGGGCACGGGGAAGAAAGCTGGCCACGGCGGGCTGGAGCGCTGGGCAGGGTGCACGGGGAGGTGTGCGGAGCTGCCTTGGCTTTCCCTGGCCGGGCCCCGGCTGTGCTGCTGGGTGTGATCGAGCGTGTGTCTGCGGACGGGTGAGACGGCCCCGCAGTGTCCGCCGCATCTCTGAGGGGCGTGGCTGGCCGGCGCAGGGGCTCCCAGACCAAGCAGCTTCGGTTTTCCCTCTGCGCCGTGACCCTGCCTGTCTGTGGCAGGAGACTCTCGAGGGTTGGTGACGACAGACACTGTTCTTTGTTGGCTCTCACAAGTGGGCTTAGCTTTCTCTGCGTGTCTGACCCCACGGCCCGCCCCCGCCACAGGCAGAGCACTAGTGAGCTCAGGTGTTCACACCCTGGCGGGAGCCCTCTACCGCAGGAATTCACAACAGTTTAGAGGCGCTAAGCTTCTGTAGCTCAGGAACATAACTTGTATATTTGTTTTTTGTTTCTTTGCTCGGGATCGGCAAGAACCCGGGGCGGCCCTCCCAGCAGGCCCTGGTTCTGTCGTCGCCCCAGGGCTTCTTCGTTGGGATGGCGATTGCCTTTCAACACGTGACCAATGCAGGTTTCTCCCCTTACTGTTTCAGTGACCTTTATTTCAAAAACACGTGGCTTGAAACTTTACTTTTGTACTGATCTTAGTTTGGATGTGCCACTTTTGGCACCAAACACGTATGTCATTTTTATTTCCATTTTGTAAACCTGTAAATAATAGTGGTAACTTGTTAATAATCGTAAACCTTTGTACCTCAAGTAAATGTGTTCCCTCCCGCCCGTGGTACTCGTGGTCTGTATTTTAAGATGGTCTAGTGAATTCTTCTGCGAGAGGGCCTGACGTTAGCTAAGAAGCCTGATGCTCTGGCGGTCCAGCAGCTCTGGGGGCTCCGTGGACGTGGGAAGCCTCCCAACGCAAGGTCCACACCACCATACGCCCTCAGGAGCTCAGGGGAGCAAACTGGGATGTTGTTTAAAGTCCTAAAGAGGTGCTAATTTTTGCCAGTTTCTCATTGGGATCTTTTTGTAGAGAGGTAGAAACACTTACTTTTGTAAAGTCTGAATTTAGAACCAGGGTGGATGGTGATGAGCTGCTGTGGGAGTGGGAGGAGGAAAGGGTACGGGACCCACCCCATGTGCAGTGAGACTGGAGATCTCCCAGATGGGAGAGCCGACAAATGGGGCTGGGCGAGCGGGTGTGCACAGGTTGGGGGGAGCACGGTGGCGCCTCTGCCTCGGAGCCCCCACCTCCTGCGGGGCAGCCCTTCCCGGTGGAGAGGGGTCTTCGCTGTCAGAGGCTGCAGCCAGAGTCCCGGCCTGGCTGAGGCGCCCTTCCTGTGTGTGAACAAGCACACAGCCTCGTCAGCCAGCCACGTCCTGGCCTGGTTCTGCACAGCCGGATTGCCTGGCCACCCAGACTGGCCCTGCGGAGCTCTGCCAGAACCAGTTCCCTCAGGCCCCTCGTCGCTTTTCAGGTGTTTTTAGTGAAATTCCGCCAGCATTGCGGTGGCTTCCTTTGAAGCCAGGTGCGTCAGTGGGAGTGGGGAGGGGAGTTGGTGCCGGAAGCTCGGTGGACGTGGTGGTGTCCCGGAGGCTTGAGATGGAGCTTTCTCTGCTGGTAGCTGTCCTGTAGCTGGTCTTCCGAGGGCGGGCCGGTGCTGTCACAGGGGCCCTGGCCCAGCGCTGCTCACTCGGTCCGTCAGCAAATGCTTGGGCACCTGGGCTGCTGGTGACACGTGACTGCACAGGCAGACGAGAACCACCCAGCGGGAGGGACTGCAGAGGCCCAGGTGTCGTTGGAGGCCAGGGCAGCAATCAGAAGAGGCTTCCCCACAAGACCCTTTCCTAGTGAATGTAGATCGTGCTCATGTTCTGCTCTGTCTGTCCTGTCCCAGCTGAACGTTTCCCTTTGGCTGTGAACTTGGCGGGATGCATGGGCCCCAGCTCTGCGCTCATCTCTTGAGTCCATCAGCACTGCCTGTAACTGGTGCTGCCTTCCCTCAGTCTGGGTCCCCTGGCCTTCTGGCCTGTTCTCAGCTGCTCTGCGCAAGGCCCAGTGCCGATGGGCTGGTCAGTGAGTTCAGGGGGTTGCGTGGTGGGGGTGGGGGGCACCACAGTTTACCTGACTGCCCTTCCAAGATGAGGAACATGCGGTAGTGAGCATTTCAGAAAGCTTATGTTAGTCTGTCAAAGTCCTTCCTTTAGTTTTTTTTTCCTTTTTTTTTTCTGATGCTAAATATTCTTTCTTTTGGAAAATGGTGATGATAATTAGATGGTACTTTGGAAATGTTTTCCTTGGAAAAATACAATTCCAACAATCCTACATCAGTCTCCCCATTAAAAACTAATTAAAAACAAAGATGAAAACTGGTTGAGGAAATCCCCAAGGCCGGGAGCCCTCGGGCTGTGGGCCATGCAGACCGTGGGGCTGCTGGTGACAGGAGCGTCGTGCAGCATGGCTCCGGGGGAGTACGTCTGCCTTTCCAAGCAACTGACTTTCTAGTGAACTCTGCAGCAGCTGGGAGACTACCTGTCTTTACATAACTGGAAGGATTCAAGTTAGCGGGACTCAGCGCCCACATCTCTTACCTCACCTTTAGATAAGATCAGATATTTTCCACTCTCCAGTGACTCATCTGGATTTTTCCTCAGCCCTCCAACTCTGTTGAAACAGGGTGGTGGAACTCTGGATTCCCTGTCAGTTTAATCTTTCTGTCACCGAACCTGGAAATAGCCAACCCAATCGTTTCACACATAGCTGGCCACTTGGGGTGAGTGGCTGGAGTGTGCATGGCAGGGCTTGTCCCCGCGTCCTCATGGTCACGGCTCCCTCCGACAAGCCAGGGTGATGTTCCGCTAGCTGGTGAATCACGGAGCTGTTACCTTGTGCACTCTTGGGTGGTACTGAGCTTGTTCAAACAGGCTGTCTTCCTGCTCGCAGACGAGATCTCAGTGCAGCACTTTCCCCAGGCCCTGGGGCATATGTGGCCTCAGCCCCTACCTGGGCTCTGTGGAAGGCAGCGAGCAAGCTAGGGAGACTGGGATGAACATGAGGGAGTCAGTGTGGTGGCAGGGGCCCCGTGGTGGTGCCCAGAATCTCAGAGCTGGGCAGAGGCCCGGCACAGATCCGCCCAGGGCTGGTCCACTGACCATGGCCTGCACAGTGGCTCTGAATACGGATGTCCAGGCCGGGCCCCCAGACTCATGGGACAAACACTTACATGACCTAAAAGTAGCTCAGGCTCCCTGCCTCCTGCCCTCACCTCTGGACCCCGGGGGCCCTGAGGGCAGGATTGGCTAAGGACTTACCAGTCTGCCTTCAGCTGGCTTATTTTAGCCTTTTCTTTCCTTCCCGCTTCTTTCTGTTTTGAAGTCCAATGAGGTTTGCTCAGTGTCTGCTGTTACTGTGTTTACTCTTAGCTCTTGTTGCTTTGTTTGCACTTGTGCATATGCTTTGTCCTTTTAATCTCTACCTCTCTGACTTCTGCATTTTTTCCCTTTTTACCATGAAATTGGAAAAAGAATACAGACGTGTTGGATCTACTTCATTTTTATACTCTTTTTAAAAGAAGTGTTTTTACCTTAACCTTGATTTTAACTTCTTGATCTTTTTTATGCTTTACTAATTTGTTTCTAGCTTTTATTTTGTACTTTCAGGTACAAAAAGAAACCTGTTAAGTTTTTGGTTTTGTTCTGTAAATATTTTCTTCCATTATTTTTCTCATTTTAAACTCACCCGGACAATTTGCTTTCCATTTCATTTCCTCTTCATTACCCACCTTCTGTTATATCTTAGTCTGCTTAATTTGTTTTCATGGTTGGCAAGAGGCCTAACTGTAGGTGTGGGAGCTGAGAGAAGCTGTGTGCAGTGGTTGAAACCAGCAAAGGATTAACTGCCAAGAATATACAAGGAGCTCCTACAAATCAACAATAAAAAGACAACCCCTGTAGAAAAAAATTGGGTAAAAGGAATGAGCAATTTATAGAAGCAGACCCCAAAGTCTACCAAGCCTGTGAAGAGCTGTTGAAACTCAGTAATCAGAGGAACAAAAACTAAAGCAACAATTAGAGAATGCTTTGCACCTGTCAGCGTCAGATTAGCAAAAAGCACAAAGGTGGGTCATGTCAAGTGTCAGCAGAGATGTGGGGACTCGGTGCAGTGTCGGTGGAGAACCACGGGGCACCGCTCATTAAATGAAGTCTGTGCATGCTCCACAGTCCAGAAATTACATGTCTGGGTAAATGTTCCCAACAAAATGATCTCCTGGGTCCACAAGCAGCCATGTGTAAGGGTGCTCCTGCAGTGTGAATGTGGTGGGGGTGGGGGAATGAGTCACGTCAGTCACTGGGGGAGTATTCAGGAAAAGGTCTGCCGCTGACCCCGACGACAGAGTACTACAGGGCAGTTTCCAGCTACAGACAACACGCAAACACGGACCTTAAAAATAGCTGAGTGAAGGGGCGCCTGCGTGGCTTAGTCGTTAAGTGTCTACCTTCAGCTCAGGCCATGATACCAGGGTCCTGGGATCGAGCCCCACGTTGGGCTCCCTGCTCGGCAGGAAGCCTGCTTCTCCCTCTCCCGCTCCCCCTGCTGTGTTCCCTCTCTCGCTATCAAATAAATAAATAAAAAATGTTTAAAAAAAAATAGCTGAGTGAAGAAAGTAAGAAGTAGATGCGATAATATCATTTACAGGCACCAAAGATAATACGCGCAAGAAACAAGACACAACAAACAAGAAACAAGGCAGCGTTTCCAAAAATGTGTACAGATGTGCATTAAAAGGGTTGCCTGTGAGGGGTGGGGGGGATGGGAGTGAGGAATGGGGGTGAAAGAAAATTAACAAATGGAACAGGACAGGATGGAAGAGGGAGCCTCAGGTGTTCCATCTTCCAGAGACCTGGATCTGAGGGCATGTATCCTTTTGTAGTCAAGGTCTGAGGCAGGTTTACCTGTGGCCCAGATAAGCGGGGGTTCTGTGAGGTTGGGCACACTTAAGTGTGTTGATCTCAGCGAGCCTACTGCGGGCTTCCCAGTGTCTATCCCTGCAGGAGCTGCTTCTATCCCGGATGTGATGCTCTGATGAACACCATGGGAGGTCCTGATGCTTACGTTCCTCGTCACAGCGCATTTCTGCTCTGGTATATGTTCTTGTTGTGATGCCCATTTAACTCATACTTACTCTGCACCCCCCACGGTGGGGCTCACTGGCAGTCGGATGGCCAGCAGCAGCAGCAGGTCTTGTATGACCACCGAGGAGTGGGAGGCATGCAGCCCCACGGTCCCTTTCAGTAGCGGCAAACAAATGTGCTGGAAAAGCCCTCCCTAGACTTAGGCATAGACAGACTACTGGAATGGATGGTAGCTCGCATGATTTATCTGGGCAAAGTTCATCCACGTCTCCGAGACAGGAACTTGTAGGACAGATTACATCATTGGGAGGCCTTCCTGCCGGTCAGCATCCTTAAGATGAAATGTATGCTTTCGACCCACGGGGACTGTCGTCCCTTCATTGCAGCTCTTGGCACTCTGCTTCCAGAGCCTTCTTGCTCTCAGAGCTGGCCTGGATCATTATGAGGCTAAAAAGAACAGGATATGCCAAGGCTTTGAAAATCCCTGATGATCTTTTATCATTCAAGGAGTGTGTAAACTTCAGCTGTGTTTGCTGCCCTGAGGTGTGGCTCCTCTTTCCTGACCATTGGCTTGCTTGTTGTTTAAGAACCAGTTTAATTAGAGCTGGTGTCTGGTTTTCCAGTAATTGCCTTGTAGGGGGTGGGGGGCA